AAGTACCAAATTGTAACTAGTTAGATAGAACGGCCTTTGGCCAAAAGTCTTACATAGCCAACGGCTGATACAGGACTATAATGGAATAATAATTATGTTGGAATAGTAAATGATCAACAAAGAAAACACAACCCATTGCACATAAGGGCGGCTATTTAGCAACCCGCCCCCCACTCTTTCATTTATATCTTTCTCTACTTACTGACTTACTTAGTTACTTACTTTACTCTTCACCGGTACTACTCCCATCCCTCGCAACCATACTCTCCACATCCGCCCTCTGCCCCTGCGTATCCGCAAACAGGGCCACCGTCTCCCGCGGGACCCTATACGCCAGCAACTCAGCTCTCGCCTCATCTTTATTCGCATGCCGGAGAAACCTGACGGCAGCATCCCACAACCTTTGACTGCCCGCTAGCTCATCATCCGCATAGGCAATAAGCTCGCCCATCCAATCCTCGCGCTTACTCTCCATGTACCAAAACGCAATGCCCGTGCGCAGGTAAATCATGCCTACGTCGACACCCCCCAGGATCTCGGTGAGGAACATTTCGAAATCTGGGTTTAGGGATTCTTCGAGGATGGTGATGCTGCGCATGCCCCAGAAGGCGGCTTCGTCCCAGCGGGCGAGCTGGTTGTAGGCGGCGAGGAAGCGTGAGACGAGTTTGAGGCGCAGGACGACGCGCATGGTGATGCCGGTTTGGCCGGCGTAGCGGCCGTGGGTGACTGCGTTTTGGAAGAAGGCGTCGGCCATGACGCGGCGGGTGCGGCCGTGGATGAGGATGTGGATTGCGTGGAAGGCTTTTTTGTAGAGCTCGATTGCTTCGAGGGCCGTGGGTGAGGTGGATTTTGCGAGGGCGGCGTCACCCGCGGCGAGGTAGTCGGTTGCTGATTCGAGGCTTTGCTCGAGGGAGGGGATAGGGCGGGCTTGGAGGCGTGCGAGTTCAGATTGGACGGTGTTGGAGAAGCCGATGAAGAGGGAGCCGTGGAGACCTTTTACATGTTCGAATGGGAGGAGGAGCTTTCGCTGGATGGCGAGAGGGACTCCGAGTTCGTCTTGGTCTTGGTCTTGGTCTTCGCTGCTGTTCTCATCGCGGTTGTCGTCTGCTTTCGCTGGATTCCGCAGCATAAACGTAGTGTTTAGCCGCTCATTCAGTGTCGGATACGACAATGCACTGTAATACCATGTCCGAGTGAACAACGGCAAGTCATCTGCCAACATGACTACCATATGCTCCGGTGTCACAATCTGCATGGGCGAATCAATCTGCACCACAGCGTGATGTCCCGTAAACGCATTCGCCTGTGCATCTGCACATACAATCGGCACCAAGCCCTCTGACGAGATATGATTGACTAGAGATACTCAACACAGCAACGATCAGCCTTGACTCCCTCATTTCCCCGTGAAGTGCTTTTTTTCCCGAAAGGGATAGTTGAAAGATAGAGGGACATGGAGGGGAGAAGAGCTCACGATGACTACCAGACAAGCTAACACCGCCATACTGATGGAGCTGCTCGGGCACCCCGTCCGTAGCCAAGAGATAAACACGATACATACCCGCACTCGGCCATGGCGTCGCGATCTTGACAAAGATGTTTTCGCGTCTCCACACGCGCTTGCTCTCCCGGTGTATCTGCTTGTTCACGTAGAAGACGTCGAGATTCCAGTGGTAGACGCCGCCGAAGAAGCCCTTTGCCTCGAGCGCAGTGTTGCGCACGAGGTGGTCGCTAGGATCAAAGTAGTGGGAATAGACTTGCTCGCGGAGTTCTAGCGGGAGGCGAAGGAAAGGGAAGGCTGGGGCCGAGGCGGGTGCGTCGTCGGCCATGGGTGGTAGTGGTGGCGATGGTGGTGGGTCAGAGGGCTGCGGTGGAAGTGTAGATCGTGATGAGAATGGATTGGGGACGAGTGAAGAGAATCGGAACATGCCGATTGAAGTTATCGGGACCGAAAAAAGGAGAGTTTTGGAGGGAAGATGGGCTAAGTTGCGCCGTGTAACTGGTACGACGGTGATGCATGACATTGATTGGCATTGTACCCCACTGTTAGTATCTCCGGTCTTAACGCCGCGGGCCGAGGCATCTTGATGAGTGAGGGTTCGGTGCACTGCAACGTAGCACGTTTGAAGAAATTAGACAATTGTTCTTCTATCTAGGATGTTGTGTATTCAAGCTCTACTATGTCTTGTGATAGGACTTTCAAAAAAAATTGAATCAACCATCTATAGGATATGCGCCAAACAACCAATATCTCACAGCCCATACAAGAATGTCCACTTTGCGTCCGCATATCTAGTCCGATCTAGGCGCTCTGCTTCCACATCTTCTGCGCTCATCGAATTCGTCATCGCCAGCCTTTTCGCATTGATTCCCTTGAGGATATACCTGTAGGCTATGTAGCCCGCAAGCGCCGTTGCTACGAACCCCAATGTAGCGTAAAAAGGCGTGAGGTATCTAGGCGCATGTTTTTTCTTGTACAGCTGACTGCCAATTACACCTGCAAGGTTGCCGAACCCGTTTACCCCTAGGACAAGGGAGCATTTACCTGGCTCTAAAAGGGTCAATTAGCATAGCGATCTTCAATGTCGACATGACGATCGGCCAAGTGGGGCTGTTTTTGACGTACCAGGATTATTCCCACTCAGCCAGGCCACCGTAAGAGGGGCTGAGATGTAGCTGCCAAACAGTAGGATGCAAAGGCCTATATACTGGGCGCTGTGGGACTGCGTAGTTACAGTTACGATAAGACCCACTAGCGCGATGCATATTCCCGTGATAATATGATAGCCTCGCTCTTTTCTGACGGTATAATTAGCAAAGCCTATGATGCTCGACTTGGGGGTTATATACTTATGATCTGAGCTGAGGGCAAACAAATATAGGCCTATAGCACCGCACACAAAAGGAGGTACGGACATCTATAACAAACCGAGTCAGCTATTCTCTGCACAAATCAACTCAAGAAATTGAAGTTGATTACCAGATTTGCCCCGATTGATGAGTATCCCAAGCCTTGAACAACCATAGGCATGAAGACGGAGAATGCTTGACTCGGCACGCTTGCACAAATATTGAACACCAGGATGAACCAGAGTTTCCAGTCCTTTGCTGTCTCTACAATGTCCCGTCTTGTAAGGCGTTTCTTCTGTATACCATCATTACCGTATTCATGATCGACGAATGGGGCATTGTCCTTGATGATCCGTTGCGTGACGAATATTTGCTCCTCATCAGTAAGAAACCACGCTGATCCTGGCCCTTGGGGCAGCCAAAACCAGGCAACAAATGCAACGACAATGGTGACGCCCCCCTCGATAATGAATAGGTATTTCCAGTTTTTTTAGTGCAGTGCCATTAATGTGGAAAATGCCGTATGCTAATCACACATTCATCAGTTTGAGTGTTGATACTGTCCATTATGCTGGCCGCGTACCAATTGATCCCGAGAAGGCGCCAGCTATTGCATATTGCCCATAGAATAGACCAATACGGACTGCGAGGTCGTACCGGCAGTAGAAGCTTGAGAGGTATGCGATAGCGGTAGGGTAAAAACCGCTTTCGAAGGCTCCAATCATAAGCCGAACAGCAAGAAGCGCTCTCGGGCCACGAATGAAGGCATGTGCTACTGTAAAGACCCCCCATCCAATCTGCAATTCAAGTCAGAATACCAGCGATATGATGTAAGCATGGGTGGTTGGGCTTGCCATGATGATGGTGATCCAATGCTTTGCGCCAAGCCATCTCCCCACCGCAGCCGAGGGAGGCTGTAGCAAGACAAAGGTGATGAAGAAAAGCGAGACTGCAAGATTGAGATCATCCGGGGTAGCACCGATGTCTGTCGTAAAGCCTATGGGATAGTGTACGGTTAGCTGCTGTGATCAGCAATGCGAGATCTTGACATACCCTGAGTCTCCGCATTCCCCACGTTAGATCGATCGAGGCCGTTCAAGAGATACAACAGTGACAGGAAGGGGAGGAGAGCGATATCGATTTTTCTATTGACATGCTTAGATACAGGCTCGCCAGGAGCGCAAGTGAGCTGATGTCCGGTTGACATTGTCGACGACTCGACCAAATTGGTGGCTGCGACAGCAGCAGGCTTCAAGCAGCGAGTACAAGTACAAGTACAACAGGGAATCAAGGGCTCACGCTCACGCTCTTGTGAATGAGCCATGGCTTAGGCAGGCTCCACAGTGAAAGCGGCCAAGCGCAAACAACCCGAATCACTTTGACGGTCATGGCCAGTCTCTTCCGCGGCTCACATTCTCGGTGACGTTTTTTTTTATAATCTTTCGTGGAGCAGCTTGGCCGATGCTGGCGATGTAGTAAAGCCTTGGCATGCAATGCGCTCCCGATCGAGCCCGGGGAAAAAATAGCCAGACGGGCCAATCAGGGTGTTGAGCCTGGCAAGTGGCCTGTCAGCTAATGCGCGCTTATCCTCGATGGCTGGGTTGCATGTGCCTAGCCAGATCAGATTCTCTTGCAGGCTTCTCAGGGCAGATGCATGGGGGAGCGGTCGTCAGGGCTGCGCGTATACGTAGAATGGTCCGGGGTGGAGGGTGAATATCGATTGCAGCATCCATGGTAGCAAGGGTCATGGCTTGTGACCGTGCCTCTTTCTCTCCTCCTTCCCGAATAGGTATCTTGCTTGGCCGGGATTACATCAGCGGGACCCTAGCCGCCTTTGAGCTGGCCACTACGACTCTCTCAGCTCCTCAGCTGCAAGCTGTCAAAGAGCCTCTGCATGGTGAGTCACGCCAGCCACATTATAGGTTGGCCATACTGCTGCTTGTGGGAAAAAAGTCCCCATCAGCCACAAGCGGGCCGGTGCCGCGTCGAGATATTGGCTAGGAAGCCATGCCCGTGGCCCACCACTCACATGGGTAGGCTGTGATGCATTTGTAGCCCGTCGTTTTGCATCCACGTCCTCATCTCTTGGTACAAGCCGTTGCTTCCATCAAGACCTGGTGTGGTGCCCTGCATTCCAGCGTCTTGTGGCGCCGCACGAGGCGGACCGGGAATATTGGAGGCGCCATGAGGATAGCTTCCCGGCTCCAACCTTCCATGGTCGTACGACAGGTACCGATCCACCAAAGCTTTGAGATCTTGGAGTACCTTGAAGCAATCTCGGGGATAGTTTGTCCCAGTTCTCGACTCATTCTCAAATGTGCGAATTGTAAATTCAATCCCAGGCGTGTGTGAATTGGGAGTCGGTGTCTTGTGGCCACCAGAGTATTTGAGTATTTGTTCAAGTAGCAGGACCACGCCAGCATTGAAGACAAAATGCAAGCCAGCTTGGAGCAGCTTTCTCACTCGACACAATCGCTGGGCTAACAAGATATTTTGATGAGCTGCCTCTATACAAGTGTGGATATGCTTGCCATGTACATGATTCTGCAACGACCATTGGCCGTTGATGTATCGTTCGGCTACAGCTTGTTTGACAGCTGCTAGCAAGATGGGGCGTGTCGTTAGTACAATGAGCTGGTTGGACGCCATATGTAGGCACAGGACGGCGGGATCTGCGCCTTCCCCGCTCGCGAGCACTGACGGCAATTGCGAATTCCACACTTCAAGCATCTTGAGGGCTTTGTCTATATTCGCGGCCGAATAGCCAGGTTTGAAGTTACGAGGAGCAATTTTGAACGTCTCGCAGACAATGTACCCGGCAATGCGGGATAGTTCGACGTGTGCACGGAGGCCGACAGACGGTGGCATCGAACTAAGCGTGTCAGCAGCTAATTTCGTTGCAATACACTCCAACGCAAAATACCTACCCTTCATCGCATGGAAGAGGAATCCGAATCGCTTCGTCGGCTATGGTCGGCGGGCGTCCCATAAGCACAGCGAGCCATCGGTCTAGAATATACAGCGTCCAAAAGATGCGCTTGCTTTCTTCATCTTTGCAGGACCTGAATGCGCCATGAATCATGGCAATATGGATCGCTAGGCTGACCTGGACGGAGTAATCCCAAGTAAGTATGCAGTTTGTACATGCTGCTTCCAAGGAAAATACTGACATATACGTAAGCCGCATCTCTACGGTTGAGTTCAATCAAGTAGAAGCCCATAAGAGTTAGCACTGGCACATCACTCAGGGTAAAGCGCACAGTGTCTAGAGGATTACCTAAGAGCTTGCGTGCGCGCTTAAAGTAAGCTTCACCAGCATGTTGATCTGATTTTCGGAACAGAGGATCACCGATTGATGTGGCCAAAGCAAAGCACACGTGGTAGAAAGCTAGGTATCTATGCGTGTCGTCTGTAGTCATCGAAGTCAACGAGACAGAGCTAGCTGTGTGCGTGGGAGGATTGTTGAGATCGCCCCACCCTAGAGGAAGACATCAGTGGGTTTGTGTCGGCTATTGTACCCAATGACTTACAGTAAATGCCACCAGACAAGAATCCGTCCTTGCCGTCTTGGACATAGGAGCGCAGTTCTGCTAGCATTGTGCTCATGTCCGCCCAATCAGGCAACCACAAGGGGTCCACATTGGGGTTTGGGATCGGCCTCGAGTCGTACGTCTGGTAACGACCTATGGACGCAACAAAAGAAGACCCGTCTGCCGACTCCGGCTGGAAGGTCAAAGGCACTAGGGTAAGCATGAACTGTTTCAGATAATCGAGAAAAGTCGCCCCAGAGGTCTCGCCCAGGAATCTCTGGGTACCACAAGGATCTACGAGCAGGCGGCCATCATTAGCATCAGGTTGGTCCAGATCCATGGGCACAGATTGAAAGGTAGGGGCACTCTGGCGTGATGCCGATGGGCCATGGTCGAGTTGGGCAATGAGCTCTGCTGCGTCTTCTGGGGCTGCTGATTGAAACCCAGCCTCAAGTGCAGCACATCTTCTTCGCAGGCGCTCTAGCTCATCCTTGAGCGAGAGTTTGTCTGACTCGGGCGCTGGATACTCGCACTCCCGCGAAGTTTTGTGGCATCGTTGGCAAGGCTGCTCGCCAGAGCATCTGACACGGCGCACATTACAGGCATTGCATCTGCGTAGTGAATGTTAGTCCTGGTCCGGTGGAGGAGTGCTTTCTTTGTAGCGATGGTGGTGGTGCTGGCGGTGCTGGCGGTGCTGGCGGTGCTGGCGGTGCTGGCGGTGCTGGGCGTCTTGCTGAGTATTGCTCTTCCAGATGTTTCAACGGCCAGACGAGCTTCACTCAGGAACAAACCTCTGTCACGACGGCCCATGACGGAATGCTACTTACGCCCTTACGACACGTTTTCTCTGGTCGGGCGCGACCTTGTGCCGTCTTGGGTTGACAGGAAGGCGTTGGGGTTGGGGCGAGGAGCTGTCGGACGCAGGTACAAAGTTGGTATGCATTTTCGGGCCGAATTGACTGGATACGTCGTGGGTTACTCGGCGATGTCATGGGCTGTACGGGGGGAGAAATGGGGGTGAGGAGCAGCAAAACCGAGATGACAAGAGGCGAAGGAATCCTCTACTAGTTGGGGCGTGCAGGCGTGCAGTTGGTGTGGCTGCCAGCCCCCACGGCGCCGCAGCAATCCAGGCCGTCACCATACGCAGCCCTCTTGGTTCGCTATCCTGGGGCAGGCGACCTGGATGCGACGATCTGGGGCGAAAAAAACCCCCAAGTCACCTGAGATGGATGCATGCATGGCAGCAGCGCGGTACAACAATGTCTCCGTGTTGCAAGCCCGAAGGCAAACCTAGTCACATTAATGCACTCAACAAAATAATAAATACAAAAAAAGTCAGCAAAACCCGGTATCTGAAGATAGTGCATTCGAAAAGAAAAGCCACAGGGTCAAACAATATCATACTTAGTGCTTGTTATCTGGAAGCAAAACAAGGCAGCAGGTCGGACATTCATAAATCGTATATTTCGGAAAAGGTCATACTTCGTAGTACGAGGGCTAAAGAGCCTCTTTGGAAAATCGCAGCAAGCCATATTAACATGTTGGGCATCGCTAAAACCAATCATTAAAACGTCGGCCTGGTAGCAACAAATTCGTCAGGCCGTCTCAAACTCGCTTTCACTCTCTCAATCTTCTAAATGAACATTCAATTGCCATCGACAGGCGGTGCGGATCATGTACTTGGCCTCTTCCTCGCTCATCCAGTTCATGTCTTCGCCGCCATTCCACTTGATGCCGACAATCTTGCCGGCACCCTCACCTTTTGTGTCCATGACGACGAACAGCTCAGCGACTTTGATGCCCGTCCAACTCCGGTGAAAGTGGACTTTGAGCTTGCCAGCCTGGTCTGGCCCCTCGCTGTAGATGAACCACTTGTCTTCCATTTCCTGTGGGGCGTGGCCAAGATAGAGCGAGTATATTTGCGAGGGGGGAAGGAATATGTTCCATGATGTGATTTGGGGGTTCCCGGGAAAGGGTTTGGTGAGCAGAGCATTGGGCACGACGCGTTCTCGCGAGCCTGGCGAATGTGGAGGAGTGGAGGGGTGGTTGCGAGCAGGCTGGCGGTAGCGTGATGGTGCCTCGCTGGAGTCGAAGGAGCTTTTTTCTGGTGGAGATGGCGGTGGTGTGAGGAGGCTGACGGGAGCGGGAGCGGGAGCGGGTGCGTAGGAGCGGTTCCGCTGCAGTCTTCGTGGTGCTCGCTGGACGGGCGGGCGGATGCCCTGGTTCATAAGAAAAGGCGATGGAGGGGTATCGCCTCGGTCTCGTCTGGAGAAGCGTCGGAATATCGACACCTTTTTCGACAGTGCCTGGGATTGGTCCGATGCCATTGTTGTTGTTTACGCGTGGGGGGCCGATTCGGTATACGCGCTCTTCTCTTTCTCTCTGGCGCGGTGTATATGATATGTGCATATGTTATATGCGTGTAGTATTAAGTAGTAAGTCGCGTTGGGGACGAAGAAGAAGAAGGTCGGCAGCCCTCGCAAGCAGATGGACGGGTCAAGACAAAAGCAAGGCAAGGCAAGGCAGAGCGAGAGAAAGAGCACGAACAAGAGAGCCCGTCGGGCCTGGAGGGACAGGACGAAGGCAGCAGAGAGGGGCGCGGTGCAGGTCGAGTATTCTACTACCTGCCGTTGGCGGAGCCCCGGCGCTCCCCCTCGCGCAAGACTGCGCCTGGCTTTATTTAGCATGCACCTCCCAAGCCGCAAGCAGGCAAGCCCACGTCGTCCAGCGCACACCTGGCTCCACTCGCCCTGCACGCAATGCACCACACTGGCCCTTGTCCTCTGGCCTGACTACCAACACCGTCCATCTCTCCGGCCCGCCCTGGCAAGCCGCATGCTCCCACTCCCAAACTCTGCCTGCCCATGACGCGGGAAGGGCACGGCCGCTGCTGGTACCAAAGTGCCTGGTAAAGTGGACCTACACCTGTCCAACCATACGCTTGCCGCCAGAAAACTTTACTGCCGACGCCCAGGTACTCCCCGATTGTCATACCGTCTTTTTACTTCGGCACACGGCATGCTGCTCTCGAACCTACCTGTTCGCCAGGGCCCCGGGCGTGCAGTAGTTCCTTGTCGACTCTCTTCGCCGTCGCTTTTTTGCCTCGTCTCTGACAGCGACATGTTGTGTCGATCGCTACGGCTCCTCACAAGGCCGGGCGCCTAGTACAAGTTGCTAAACATCCTTCTCTCGACGCGTATTTGCTGCCATTACATACTTGGCACGTGCCCATCACACAGCCCTCACCATACACGGTCGGTGGGTGCCTTACATGGGCAGTGTAGTAGTAAGACGACTTCTACTACCGCTCGCCTGGGCCTGAGTGCGCCCGCATATCCCGTGTAGCGAATCCCAGGCCTCATAAGTCTCAGCTCACACAACCGTGCTACTTCCGGTTCCAGCGAATAGCAGACGCGTCGTAGAGCAAAACAACGCCATGGCACCGACAAAAGGGGCGATTACCCTCACCGGTCAAAGCCAATCACCAGTCTACCTGACACGGAGCGTCAGAGTCCGATTGACGGGTGGAAGCTTCTGTAGGCCAGACCCTGGGCCGCCTACTGGCCAACATACATGCATACCGCAACGTTCGACTAGTATTCCTTCCCAGCCCCCTCATAAACAAATGCTCGGGCCCTTTTGGTACACGCGACACTCTGATGGAATAATCACACGCGAACTTTCTGGAAATCACCGAGGACGGCAATAAACTCCGACCCCCTCTCTCCTCGACCTGCATAGTGATTGTAGCAAAGCAAAAGCAGCCACGTGCCGAGAGACCAACCTAGTCCCCACGCCACTCTGCACCAGATCGTAAGATATGCATGCCACAGTCAGCCACGACTGGAGCTGGCCAAAGCCTCTGGATGATTGGACCCGGGTAACGCCCGCCTCTGCGTACCAAACATCAGGTACATGAAACAAGACCATTCATGGAGCTGTTTGTCGGTGATTATTGCTGCAACTCTAGCAGCGAACCCCGCAAAAGTGCTTACGTTCTCGATAACATAATGATAAGCCTCGTCTTCTCGAAGAACCTATCAAACCGGGAGCCTAACACGCATTATGTCATGCACGGCGATCCCAAGGGCCGAAGGTGATCACTACACCGCAGTATATTCCGAGTAATGGTCCACGGACGTCACGGAACCTCAGTCATGACAGCAATTCCAACTGTTATTCATCCACTAATGACTTTTTTTTCTTCTTAAATCTTATTCCTTTTCACAACTAGTAGCCTGTGCCGCTCTTCGAGCAATACCACCCTGACGTGGGAACCTACTCTTTGTAGGTAATGGTCTTGAGGCGCAAAAACTCCTCGATGCCCCAGTGGCCATTGAAGCGACCGAATCCACTCGCCTTTGCACCGCCATGAGGCAGAGTCCACTCGTCGTGCACAGTCATGGAGTTGATGTGGATAGCTCTGAATTAGTGTTAGCACGTGCGTCTTGACAACTCATTCACCACAAGTTGTGACTTACCCGCTCTCGATTTGCTTTGCAATTCTCAATCCTCGGCCAAGATTCTCGGTAAAGACAGCTCCAGAAAGACCATAGTCGGTATCATTAGCAATCTCAATGGCCTCTTCATCGCTTGAAATCTCAATGACCGACACCGAGGGACCAAACGACTCGGTATGGAAGAGCTCCATGTTCTTGTTCACGCCGTCGACAATAACAGGACGCATGCGTGTGGCTGACGTCTCTTTTGTCTCTGGGTGCTTCTCGTCCTTTTCGTAGTCGCCCTGTACAACTTTTGCTCCGTTCTTGACAGCATCGGCAATCAGCTTCTTGTTCTTCTCAACACCCGGTGCAGCGATAAGAACAGGCGCGGGCTTATCGCCACCAAAGATCCCCTCTACCGCACCCTTGAACGCCTCGATGAACTGTGGCTTGATATCCTTGTGCACCAAGATGCGCTCCGAACTCATGCAAATCTGGCCTGCATGCAAGAAAGCACCCAGCGCACACTGCACCGCTGCCGTCTGCAGATTCGCATCATCCAGCACAATAGCGCTAGCTTTGCCCCCCAGCTCCAGCAGCACAGGCTTAAGATTCTTACCCGCTGTTGACGCAATAATCCGCCCAACAGCCGTAGACCCGGTAAAGTTGATCTTCTTAATAGCCGGCTCCTCTATCAACGCAGTAGTAATCTGCGCTGCATCCTCTGGTCGATGGAACAGCACATTCAGCGCGCCTGCAGGAAGTCCAGCTTCACTCAGTGCACTGCCGATAGCCCACCATGTGCGGGGGCACAGCTCGCTTCCCTTGAGAATACACGTGTTGCCCGCCGCGAGGGGGTAGAGAATAGAGCGCATACCAAGAACGTATGGTGCATTCCTGATCAATCCCAATTAGCAAACCACAATACTCCCCAGTTTTTTTTTTCTCATTTTCAAAAAAAAGATTGTAGGACATGAAGGGAATAAACATACCAAGGCGCAATCCCCAACACCACGCCAAACGGCTCCTTAACAATCAACGCACTAGTCCCTTCCTCCTCACAACTCGGAATATGCCCCATGACCCCGCTCAGCCGCCCCGCCACATCCCTCAGCATATCCGCCATCTTAGGCACATTGAACCCATTCGCAAACATATCCCCCGCCCCCGTCTCGAGCTTCATGTAGTCTGCAAATTCGTCGGCGCGCGCCTCAATCACATCTGCGGCTTTGAGAAAGATGTTGCGTTTGGCAGAGTGCTTGAGTTTGGACCACGCTGGGAAGGCGGATTTAGCGGCGGCGACGGCGGAAGTGACGTCTGAGGGGGAGGCGGAAGAAGAGAGCCATAATTGAGTGTGTGAGGAGGGGGAGGTGACGGGGAAGGTGGTGGATGTTGTTACTTCCTGGCCGTTGATGAGGAGGGGGACGGTGTAGGAGGGGTCTGGTTTGATGAGTTTGATTGTCGTCATTTTTTGGTGTTCAATTCTTTCCTCAATTTCTTTTATATGCAAAGGTTGGTTAAGAGACGGGAGGGTTATATCCAGAGAGGGATTTTCTTCTTTTTGGTTTATCTGGGGGTGTCGTATCGAGTTTTTAACATATAAAAAAACACCGCAACCCTTTTCCAGCATTGCCGATTCTACGGGCCGTGTACCAAAAACCCTAGCTTTAACCCTCTTTTTTTCCTAGACCCCTCCTTTAACTCCCCGTCCTGAATCCCCTCATTTAGCGCCTCGACCAATCTCAGACGATCCTTCCAATCCCCCCCGCTCCACTACCCTTTCCTCTGACTGTGTGCGTGCATGCATGCTGCAATCGGCACGTATGAGGCACGGGGTGTGGCGAGCACATTTACATGGGCATAGTGGAGGCCTGATGTGCTACTAGCGTTCCGAGGCGAGTAGTCGGCCGAGACGAGAGGTGCATGAGAGAAAACATCAGGTGAGGTTATGTTGGCCTATCTCTCTCAACAACTTGAACAGTGTGTGGAATGTTGTGCTTGTTACTATCGCTACGTTATAGGATGTAAAGTGATGTGTTGGCTGACATTTTATACACCAGGGAGGGAGGGGGGGGATATAGAATGTGCTTTTAATAGTCCGTAATGTAAGCACCTTAATTTGTAACATTTGAATTCAACGCCTTTTCCGCATCTTCGACTTGTATTCGTTTTTTTTGGAAATTCCTTCAGCACCTCCCATCCTAAGTTTGAGGTGAATGATAATTACCCTCCCGGTTGCAGAATCCGTTTCACAAGGTTGGTGGTGAAACCTGGCAGGTCTTTCTACATGAAAAGGATTGCGGTATTTTTAAAGCCTTCCTTCGTATTCTTGAAACTCAAATTCTGGGTTGTGCTGTCTTGTCGTTCAACTTTGTAAACGTAGCGTGCGTAGGATACATAGAGTCGGCTGGGAACTGGGGATACGCGGTTGTATTGCCTTGAGACACCTACGATTGGATATGCAGGGATATTCGCTGAGGATAGTATGCTAACTTTTTTTTTAAAATGCATTTGGCATATTGGATGGAAGTCCTGAGGCTTTTAAATACGAGCGGATGGATGTTGAATTATTTAATAGTCAAGTGGCTTAAACACATTGATACTCATCCTCTACACCATACGGACCCTATCCACCATACCCGTCAATTCCACCGTATTCTTCATAGTCTTCAAACTCGTCACTGCTGTGACCTTCATCTTCACTATTATCGTCAGACTCATCGTCAGACTCATCAATGTCTACGTCCTTCTCGTCAAAGAAACTCGACATACTCCCATAGTCAGTATATCCACCATAGAACTCATCCTCTAGCAAATCATACTCGAAGTTTATCCCCGCCTCACGAGCCAGTTCAGCGAGGTGCTTCCAGAGGCATTCGTCAAGATATTTTTGATCAGAGGAAAGTAAAATCACCTGAACCTCACGTAGTTTAGGTGTGTATGTAGCCCTGCCAGTTAACAGGTGTTTTAATGAACGAAGGTATTTGCGGTCGTCTGGGTCGGATCGGATACGCGTTTGAAATTTCTCCAGAGAAGGCGGTAATCCCTTTGCAAACTCTTTACCATATTCTGCTACCAGTGTACCCAGAGGGCACCGGAGTTCTTTTAACAATGTAAACTCTCTCAGGCCGCTGTGGTTGTGAAGTAGACCAGGCTTTCTACGTTCTATTTCCGTCTCGCAGTAAATCGTAAGAGTTTCTAGCGATGTTTGATGAGGTCGCAAAATTTTGGCCAGCTTGCGAAGAATAGGTACGGGCGATCCATTGAACCACGGTACCATGTCCACAGCCATGGCATATTGAAACTCCTTTAAACGCCGTGAAGTTGAGACTAGGAAATCTAAACAGCTCTTGGTGTAAAAGCAGTCGTTTAGAGAAAGTGTCTCGATATTGTTTCTCCCTGGGTCTACCATTTTTCGAAGCGTCTTAGCGTTGTTCTCCCCTCGGCGGGAACGGTGGAACTCCAGGACTCCTATTAACTCTAGCATGCGCAATGATGGGAGCCTGAACAAAGGCGCAATCGTAAACAATTGTACGTCGCGTGCATGGATCCTGACTTCTCGTAGATTTTCAAAGCAATGGATCTTCCCATTTTCGCAACCGAGTGCTTCGTTCATCATGAATGACCAGTCGGGAGCGTCCTGGAGAGACTCGGACCGATCATAGCCAGTGTATCTGATAGTTTGAATATTCGGTAAAAATAGTAGGATCATGGCTGTCATTACTTCGTAACTTCGAGGGTCGTTGTTGCATGTGTCCACCCATCTTCTCCAATGGCGGATTTCGAGGGCCTGTACAGCTTTTTTGATCACCCTCTTATCCTGCGCTGTTGGTTCGTACACCGGATTAGAATGGTCAAATTGGATCAGTCTCTTCACATGCTTTACAAGCGCCGCTAGTTGCGGGTTCAATATCACGGTGCGAAGGAACGGATAGGCATTGCAGTCGTGTGGGTCGAACAACGCATAAGCCTCTGCGATTGCAATTCGGTAAAAACGACGGCTCGCGCATGCCAAACTCAGAGCATTTAAAATCTTTTTCTTGGAGTTTTCCTCATCGGACAAGTACCCCAGTATCGCGAGGATGAGCTCGTCAGGTAAGTCGTTGATTGTCGCACGCGAGTTTTGTTTTCTCGAGGGTGATGCCGCTGCAGCTTTATGCGCAAGGAGGAGCCTTCGCCTTTGCTCTTCAGAGGGGAGTAAAGGAAAGTCACGTTCGTTAAGGGTCAGCATGAAAGCTTGCAATGCGAAAGAAAGTTTGTTGTGAAGCAAAGCGATGCGTTGCTTTAACAATTGAAATGGAGGTGTAGCTGTTCCAAGGTGGGGGATCTGCTGTTATAATAGGGCGGATTACCAGGTTTGAAGCTCACTTCAGCTGCGTATTTGCCACCCGGAAACGTCCAGGTTCTAAACATTCATTTCGGTAGCGATTTTCCCGTCTGTGTCCACAAAACACTAGTATCTTAATATCCGCAAAGAGTTCCATCCAATAGGATCTACTACATCTCAGATAACGGATTTGCTAATCAACATCGCCCCCGCACCCCACCGCTTGGTTACTTTGCAAGAGAGCTGATGGCATTCCTTCACAACATTACCCCTCTTTCGCCATGGACAGTCTATCCGAAGAGATTCTGGATCATATTATTTCCGAGGTTGTGAAACCTTTACCAGACCGGCATGGTGCTTGTTATGCAGACCTCGTCAGTATATCCATGGTATCACGCAAATTCCATCGCATCACAGAGCCATATCTGTACCGCTCTATCGTCCTATCGGAGAAGAACAAAGACCAATTCCTGAAGACAATAAGATGTTGCTCTGAACTATCACAATATCCCCGGGAGCTCTGTATCAAGCCATCCTGCAACATCACGCATGAAACGTTGCGTCTTGCTCCGCAACTCCCAGGTCTGCACAAGTTGGATCTGGATCTCACGTCTTGCAAGACTTCAGATCTTTTGCCTGTACTGGGGCTGCCATCAGTAACAGCACTGTGTCTTTCTGGTGTTGTAGCCAGACAAATCGATGACGCTAGTCTCATTGACTGGGAAATCGCTAACACGGCCATCACAAGTCTTGAAATGTCCTTTTCAGATCCGGAGACCTGGTGGGAAGATTGCGACGAGATTTGGAAATTTGCTGCAGTCTTTCGCAACTTGAAAAGCTTGAGTATTCATAGCGACTACGAAGGAGAAAGGAAACATACGCTCAACGGCCCAGTCTTTCGGTGCCTCGTGCACGCTTTTAGACATGCATTTGAGACCAGTCTCCGCTCTTTCAGCTTCAAATGCAACGATGTGAACCATGATTACATTTACCAGGGTGACGTGGCCGTCAGCGGCACGTTCGATGCAAGGGAGATTCTGAAGCAATCGCAACTTAAGAGCCTGGAAATTGATACAATGTGTTTGCACAGGTCAAGTCAAGAGGAGAAGCTGAGGAGCCAGGAGCTCGGTCCGTCATGCCTGCCAGCCTCATTGCGCACGTTGTATTTGCGCCACCTTGTTGCGACAGGCAATCTGAACCCTATAGAACGAAACCTTATGCACTCGGACGAGGCACAGTGTTTGTCACAGCTAGTCAACCTGGGAGCGCGAAGAGCGCGTTTCCCAAATCTAGAGAAGATGACACTAGCTATCTCTCTGCCTCCCTTCTTTGAAGAAGTTGCTTCGAGGATTGTCAGAGTCCAAGCACGAAAAGTAAAACTGAAACTAGAACTGATACTGATGTAAGTGTGGAGGAGAGTTTGTGGCGCGCGATAGCTGAAAACAAGCAGGTCCGAGTGGGACTATGTCAGTGATGATACAGCTAGATCATGGCCAGAGTATCATGCTACTCGAGATCCACGGCATTCTTTTTACGATCCGACATATATACGCTGCGCGTAGCCATTTCAATCCTTTTCGTTTGAGGTTTGTTGTAGGTGTTTGTCGATACATGCTCTCGCTATTCACATATGTTGTTCTCTCGCTCTCTTGAGCAAGTGAACAACAGACTGTGAAATTTTGGTTTGCACTACTCACGTATTGCTTCGATCGAGATGGAATAAGACAGTGCCAAAAAGCTTCAAGTTGCATGTAAATGCTACGAAGCTTCTGATTGACGGCTTCGTATAACATCCTGGTCGTCCGAGGGGTTGAAAAATCTTGGCAGAGGCTTGCAACGCACGGAAATCTTGAGCTACCGAGAACACCGAGATGCAGCTACACGTAAAAAGGGTTCCGACATTGTTTGGCTAAAGGTAAGCATGGATGCTGACAGCATGCGGATTAAGGGTGCGCTACGAACCTTTTGGGCCAACAGTCAGATTTAGGTGTCACGGTCCGATTGGCTGAATCTATACGCAGTTGCGCGTTCCGCAGCCTTCAGCCACGATGGGCGTATACGCAAACAGAACAGCATCGCCGCAGACCATCGCATGTGGTCTTTCGTTAGCTTGACTACGAAGATGCCGGGGGGCGGAGCCGCCAGTGTTAAGATACAGAACATGCTCTATTTAAGGACGCTGTCACCGACCCAACCTCTTGTTTCGTTTCCCACTCCAAACAGTTTTGATCAGTCATTTGCATCTCAATCAACATTCAGAGCACTACTTTTTTTTGTAAATCTACAACGTAATCCCATATCAAGCTTTCAATATGGCCTCTCAAGCGCTCGTCCTAGCAACCAACTCCACACTGCAACAAAAACCCGCACCCATAGTCCCTCACAACTCGCCAACCCAACAACAACAACAAAAACCCTCAGCCAACAAATCAGGAGGCTTCTGCCTCAAGAAAGGCCTCGATAGCCTCACCGAGATGCTTGAACGCAAGATCGACCACCAGATTCTTCTCGCAAAGACCCGAGCTCATGCCGCGTCATCATCACAAGAGACACCTGCCGGTCGCGATTCCAAACACGTGCACTGGGAAACACGCAGCAAGCTTCAGCAGACAGCAGCATAGAGTCTTTGAAACACGTAGTTAGAGTACTAAAGTCGTGCCAAGAGGGGCTGGCGTGTTACGATGAAGCAGTTTAGCTTCTCGGGTAGGGTCTTTTGCGGATCCGCCGGGCACTGATTTCATTTGCATTCACACGAGAAGAGCGTATGCGCGTCCAAGCAAGAGTATCGTACGACTGGGCTGGGATTGATTTATGCCTTGTGGCTAGTAGGTATTCTCTACATACTTCACCGAGATTGGCGTGGGGTGTCATCACATGCCTATCAACAACAAGGCAACGAGTCAGGGATGGATATAGGACTGTGTTGGGAACATTCCGGCAACAGAAGGACCAAAGAGCGAATCTATGAAATACCCAAGGGCTACTAGAGGAGATGAGGAGGAGCATTATAAAGTATTCGTTCCTATTAGCGAGCTGTCATTTTCATAAGGATGTTTTACTCTTATAGAACAACAATTAAATAGAACATAGCGGCAAAATCTTACAGCATTTGTCGCAGCCACTTTGTCTATCACTATCACACGTGATCAGTTAATCCAGGCAACAGCCTTTCCCCGTCAAAGCTAGTACAGCCACTCAAGATCCAATCGCGACGTTCGGATCCAATATACTCTCGCTCATCACGACAAACACTCTGTATATCAAATACGTCCAAAGAAATGGCAAAATCCACGCAAACATACAGCAAGCACTTCATCCCACTCGAGTCGAGCCCGGAAATATTCACAGAGCTTGCGCACAATCTAGGGCTGCCTGCGTCATTAGGGTTTCAGGATGTGCTTTCCCTGGACGACCCAGAGTTACTTGGGATGCTGCCACGACCGGTATACGGGCTGATTCTGATACTTCCGACGACAGAGGCATACGAGAAGACAGTGGAGGATGAGGATACCAAGCTAGAAAGTTTGCAAGGCCCCAAGCAAAACGACGATGTAGTGTTTTTTAGACAGACAATTAACAATGCATGTGGGTTGTATGCTATTCTACATGCTGTATGCAATGGAGGGGTGAGAGAAATGATAGGTGTGAATAGGATTGATTGGTACGGAAGGCATGACTAACATGGTGTAGAATCCGGTTCAATCATTGCGAAAGTGCTCAGTTCAAGTCTGACGAATGATGTAGACGAGCTGGCTAGAGCACTGGAGAATAGGCAGGAGTTAGAGAAGGCATATGCTGATGCCGCTATCAAGGGCGATACGGATGCGCCAGTCAATGCTGAAGACGAGGTGGATTATCACTATGTTGCTTTTGTGCAATCGTCCAAGAGCAGACATCTCTACCAACTCGATGGAGACCGGAAACGTCCCATTGATCTTGGGACACTTGAAACCGATGAAGATGCTCTTGGAAGTAAGTGCCTTGATGTCATTCGGAACATGGTGGCACTTGAAAACAACAATGTCAACTTTAGTTTAATGGCTCTGGTTGAAGGCGCAGAGATGTAGGTAGCCAAGGAGTCACACTCTCGGTGGAAAAGTCTCCGAAGAGCGGTAAAGTGTGAACTATGAAGGACCTTTTTATTTGTTCTTGCAACAAGAATGCACGTACTGGAGTACAGCCGCATGCACCACAGCCAAGCAAGACGCGAGGCTGTGGGATGCTCCCCGAAGGGACTTGTAAAGGTGTCGTAGACCAAGTGGCTGGTGTGCGAGTTGCGTCCTAGAAAAAGCGATTACTACGACAATGGACACGAATCATTTCACCTCGTCCTAGAGGGTTGTTGAAGCTGGCCCATGTGATGTTGGAGAGACAAGGAGGGTGAATGTGTGCGAAGAAAAGTCATCTAGAGGCCGGGCGCATGGACCACCACGCGCTAGGCTAGCTCTGTAGCTTCACCTCGAGCGACGTCCCCGACCGCGATTGTGGTAGAATCCATAACTTACTCCCCACCCACCCTATCACGCCCAAATCGCAACCATGACTAAGAAGCGCAAGAGGTATCCAGATCTAAACCAGAAGCTAGAGGTCAGCATATTGAGAGCGAATTGCACACAAGACACGCATTGATAATCCGGCAGCGACCATGGTGCTACTACTGCGAGCGCGACTTTGACGACCTGAAGATTCTCATCTCTCACCAAAAAGCCAAACACTTCAAATGCGACCGCTGCGGACGACGGCTGAACACTGCCGGAGGTATGCCGTTGCAACATTCCAAGCCTCGCTCTCCCCTAACATCTGACCAGGTCTCTCTGTGCACATGAACCAGGTCCACAAGGAGAACCTCACGCATGTCGAGAATGCCAATCCAGGACGCCAGGGCCTCGAGCTCGAGATCTTCGGCATGGAGGGTGTGCCCGCTGAGATAATAGAGCAGCACAACCAACAAGTCACACAAGCACATTTCGCCGAGGAACAGGAGCGCGCGCGGTTAACGGGTAACCCTATGCGCGGAGCGTACGTGAATGGTCAGGCTGCGCCGAACAAGAGGCCCAAGATCAACGAGAGTCTGGATGAGATTGAGGCGAGGGCGGCCAAGTTTAGAGAGGACCGTAAGAACGGTGTTCTTCCGCCGCCAGTGGAGCCCGTCCAGAATGCAGTATGTACTCGTCGAGAAGAAGAGAGCGAGGGTATGGCTAACAAATTTATTAGACTCCGCCAGTCGTTCAACCCCCCTATGGCGCTCCTCCAGGTGCTCCCGTGGCCTTCCCACCTGGCGCTCCCGCGTATCCACCCCAAGGCATCGCGCAACCCTTCTCACCCACCAACGCCGCCATACCGACACGACCAGGCAGTATACCAGGCCAATCCGGTGCGCTTCCACCTCGACCAGGCTTCGGTGCTCCACCGCCCGGCGCATTTCCTCCCGGACCCAATGGCGACATTTCCAATTCTGTCGACGATCTCATCAACGAGGTTACCAAGGAGGCGGCGCCAAAGGAAGAGAAGAAGAGCAAAAAGGACAAGAACCAGCGACTCATTTTCTTTGCCGAGACTACGAGTCCTGAGGAGAAGATGGCGGCTTTGCCGAGGTTTGCAGAGTTTATGCGGACGTGATTGGGGATAGTATGGTGGTGTATCTTGAGATCTTTGATTGGCCCGAGTGCAGGAGAATGCACGTGGAGGTGATTTTTTTTTTGGAAAAAAAAGGTGCCTTCAAAGAGGCCTGAGAAAAGGGGGCCCAGACAAGATGAATGACAAGCTTACTGCTGGCATTGCGCCGCGTGAAGGGAAAAGGGCGTCTATCTCTTTTCTTCTTCTTCTACCCAAGGCATGGAACGCGACGCGAGCAAAAAAACATGGGACGTGTATTCTAGTCTATCCATGTTTATTTGTATACAGACGGTTACATGTATATGTCTCAGAGCAAGAGACAGAGAGAACTAGCCTCGGGCGCTGATTACGAAATGAAGACTATAACCCGGTCCATTTGAGATAACATTGTCAGTCGGTCAGAAAGAGAGATGATGTTCCAAATAACCAGAAATCAGGGTATCTTGCATTAGTGACGTGTAATCTGGGCCGTATAACTAAGCTATACAATATACATGTGTAAATCGCGGAAAAGAAAAGAAAAGAAAGACAGACATCGAGGTGAAAGACAAAACGTCGGAGGTAAAGGATAGGCCTTATTTTTTTTTCATGCCGCCAGAAATTCCACCGTCTATATCTCGAAAAGAAGAGAGAGGAAGATGATGATTATGATGATGAAGAAGAAGGAAATCATTGATCATAAAACCCCAACTCCTCGCCTTCCTCCTGCTCATCCTCATCGTACTCTTCGCTTTGCTCATCCTCGCTGCTACTGCTAGCCTCACTAGCACGCGCCCACTCCGACGTCTCTGTAAAGAGAGATTCACCGAGATCCAGAGCGCGAGCTTGCGTGGTCGACGGACCAAGCAAACCCTCTCCATCGCTATGATCTTGTTCGGGCATGGGTTCCACCTCCTTAAGCAGCGTCTTCTCGTCCTCCTCATCCGGCGCCGCGCGCGCAAAGCCCACAGACTTCGCAGTGTTAGGGCGCTCATGCTCCTCCGCATGCGAGGGTGCGGGGGCAAGCCGGGGCTGCTCTTCGATGATATCGCCGTTCCAGGGTCTGCAGGCTGTGATGGTTTCGCCGCAACGGAGACAGGTCCAGCCTTCGCCTTCTTCGTTTGCGATGCGCTGGGCGAGGCAGGCGAAGCAGTAGATGCAGCCGCAGGATGTGGATTCGTAGGGGTTTGTAATGTCTGTTGCAGCGCTGCCGACGACGCCGCCGCCGCCGGCTGACGAGGCCATGATGTCGGATTCGGAGGCGGTGGTGGGGTTTTGGTCACGGTAGCAGATTGCGCAGGTGCGTTCGGGGAGGAAGCCGAGTTCGCCGGAGGTTCTGGCTTCGTCGTCTTCCGGGGAGGAGGTGGGGGATTTGCCCATGAGGGAAAAGAGGGTTGCGCGGAGCTTTTTGAAGGTCCGGCTTAGGATACGGCGCCAGCGGGATATACCAACTAAGGGGAGGAGGAAGAGTAGGAACTCAGTGAAGGCGTGCCAGACGAGTTGGCGGTTGAGGTACTCAAAGCTGACTTCGCGCGAGGTAGAGTGTGACGAGGGGGTAAGGCGCAACCGGAGGAGACGGTCGGTAATTGTTCTGTAGCGGCCGTCGACGAGGAAGACGAGGAAGCTGGCGAGACCGAGCACATCGTGTGCATTCCCGGCCAGCTCACTTAATCTGCCCAGTAATTTGAGGCGCGTGGATTCAGGCCGTGTGTAGTCTTCGGACGTGGACAAGAGGTACTCCTCCCACTTTGTCCACGCATATCTCCCGCCAACAGTAATGGCTCCATAGGCAATCTTCTGCCAGGGCTTCGGGGGCGGGCGATTGGGGGCACTGCTACGGGCGTCGGTGTAGCGCAGCCCCTGTAAATGGGCACCATAACTGGCATTCTGGTCCCAGATGCTCAATTTCCACAGGATAGCGCGCAGCAGCAGTAGAATCTCGGCCGAGTAGTTGTCCGTGACCTGGGAGCCAAAGTATTTGAGGCCCTCACCAACCTGGCCTTTGAGCAGCGTCAGCAACTCCTCGTCGAGGAGTTCGGCATCAACCTGGCCGACGCGGAACTCTGGGCGCGTTCCCGAGCGGCCCTTGATCGCGTCCCAAACGCTGAATCCGGCCGAAGAGACGGCGCCTAAGGGAAAAGGAAGGCGTGCGAGAGCGCGGGCAGGGCGCGATGGCTCATGGTGGTTGCGCTGCTGGAGCGCGCGCTGGGCGCGGCGGGCTGCTATGCGTTGCTGGGCGGCGGCGAAGTCTGCGGAGTGCATCGGGAAGCATTGGGAGGCTGCCGGGCGCAGGCAGGGCAGATGAGGGTGTGGCGAGGGGGATGTAGGCGGGAGGAGGCGTCGACGGTGATGGCGGAGGTGAAGGTGGTGATATCAGAGCCGCGGTCGCGCACACCCGTACTCGGAGGAACGTGATTGAGGAGGGCCATGGGCCGAGGTTGGCTGGGCATGCACAAGCCGATGGGCGCCATGGGCCCCGGAGAGTGCAGACGCGCCACAGCAACAATGGGCATGCAAACATGCACCATGGCCTGTATGCGATTCGAGCAAAGAGAAGGCCATCCCTCCCCTTTGTTAGTGTATCCGTCCCCAGGCCGGTGTAGTATAGGTATATCAAAAAAGTTTAATTGCTACTAGTCAGCTCTCACCGTCGGTCGCAGAGGTCCGAGCTGGCGACGCGGGGACAGCAAACATGGAATTTACTTCGACTGCAACAAACACCAAGCAGACAATTACCTTGCAGCCTAGTATTCACTGACCCGAGTGAGCAGGCTCCCATGTCGCCTTCATTGCTCACCGTATACACCCACTAGCATCATCTCGTTCTTCTTCTTCTTTCTTCTTCACACTTGCACTGTGCTGCGGCTCGAACTACCCCACCACGGCCGCATATCCACCTAGTGAATGCATACATACACAAACACAACAAACAACAGCACCCGATGAGTGCCAGCTTCCAGGTCGAGGTCCCTGGAGAGGCTAATCCTCTCACCGAGGGAATTCTCTTTCATGTCCTGCGCTCCGCCTCGTCCGCAGACCAGACCCAGGTCCAGAGCGGCGCAAAGCAACTACAGCACTGGGAAAAGACACAGGGCTTCTATCCTCTGCTTCAGGTACACTGGGCGTGATTTATATATGCGATATCTATACTGAAACGCTCCAGTCCGTTTTCCTCGATCATTCCCTCCCTCTCGAAGTGCGCTACCTAGCCATTATCCAATTGAAGAATGGCATCGACAAGTACTGGCGCAAGACTGCCACCAAGTACGCCCACCGCTCTATACATACAACTATACAACACATGTTCTAATACCATAGCAGTGCGGTGACAAAAGAAGACAAGACTGCTATCCGAGCACGTCTACTCGAGAGCGCTGTCAACGAGGCGGATCCCCGGCTGGCTCTCCAGAACGCCCTGGTAGTAGCAAAGATTGTCCGCTTCGAGTTTCCCAATGACTGGTCGGTCTGGCTGCGCACTTTTCTGCTTGCAATATCTGACACATCCTAGGCCAGATCTGTTCCAGCAGCTCCTCCACATACTCCGTGCCTCGACCGAACCTAACGCTTACTCACTTCAACTCCCCCGTGCCCTCCTCGTGCTCCTATATATCATAAAAGAACTCTCCACAGGTCGCTTGCTGCGCACCCGCCAGAGCCTGCACACAGTTGCCCCTGAGATATTTAACGTTCTAGGAACCATATATGTGAGCAAGGTGCAGACATGGCAGACCTTCTTTCGCGACGGCGGCGACGATGAAGGTGGTGCAATAGAGAGCATTGACCACAGCCTGCTCGCTATAAAGACCATCCGGCGACTAGTTATTGCCGGCTACGAATTTCCAGGCAGAGACAAGGACATTCAGGACTTTTGGACACTGACCCGTACTCACCTAGGCGAGTTTCTACAATATGTGACACCAGAGAACTCGCCACTTGCAACAGAGGTACAAAAGAAGATTGGAAAACATCTCATGCAGCTGTCCAAACTTCACCTCAACATGGCTTCTACTCACCCCTCAGACTTTGTTCTCCTGCCAAACTCTTTAGATCTTGCACGCGACTATTGGAGTCTGGTCGCAAAAGTAGGCGAGCAATGGGGCTCTACGTCCTTGGAAGGCGCCAAAGTTAGTACCGATGGCGACGCTGAAGACGAGGCCCCAATACTCGAACGTCTGGCTCTCAAAGGTTTGTTGTTGATACGTGCGTGTATAAAGATGGTTTTCTATCCCACACAGACCTTTCGCTACAAGCAACAACAAGAAAAGGACGAAAAGAATCAAGCTACGCATTTGGTCCGCACAGACTTGTTCACAGACGACTTGGTGCGAGAAATGATGTCAGCACTCGTCCAGCGCTTTTTCGTCTTTCGCCCCAGCGACCTACGCATGTGGGAGGAGGAGCCCGATGAGTGGGAGAAGATGGAAGAAGGCGCAGAGGACTGGGAATTCGCCATCCGCCCTTGTGCCGAAAAGCTGTTCTTAGATCTCGCAAAGAATTTCAAAGATTTGATCATCCAGCCTCTTCTCCAAGTCTTTTATTCTGTCGCAAGTGAGTACTTGCTCGAGAATGCGGTGAGTTTTGGCTAACCTCTTGCAGCCCCTCAAAATGAGGATATCCTGTTCAAGGATTCGGTGTATACGGCCATTGGTCTTGCAGCTGACATACTCCACGACAAGCTTGACTTTGACTCTTTCCTGGAGAATACACTAGTTGTGGAGGCTACCAAGCAGACACCCGGCTTCAACATTATTCGTCGTCGTATCGCCATCATTATTTCTCAATGGATTACCATCAAGATGGCTCAGGAGAAGAAGCCCATAGTATACCAGATCTTTCAACACTTGCTCGACAAGAACGACCCGCTGAATGACCAGGTCGTCCGTATCACAGCTGGAAGAAAGTTTCACGCTGTTGCAGACGAATGGGAATTCAAGGCCGACACCTTTTTGCCCTTTTCACAAGTCATGCTAGACAGGCTGATGGCTCTGGTGCAAGAGGTCGAGCTTCCAGAGACAAAGATGGCGCTACTCAATACTATTAGTCTTATTGTTGAGAGAATGGAGCATCATGTAGGTTGTATACCCATGCTTTATCTCCGAGACTGACGCGATGCAGATTACACCATATGCCAATAGTATCATTTCTCTCCTGCCGCCGCTGTGGGAGCAGTCTGGGGAAGAGCATCTCATGAAGCAAGCAATTCTGACCATACTTGCTCGCCTAACAAATGCCATGAAGGCCGACTCGCGCTCATTTCACGTCTCGTTCTTGCCCATCATCCAAAGTGCTATTGAGCCAGGGTCAGATACTCAGGTCTACCTTCTCGAAGACGCGCTCGATCTCTGGGCATCTATTCTCGCGCAGACACCATCCGCTCCTGAGCCCACGCCACCTGAGCTTCTTAACCTTCTCCAGTATCTCCTTCCACTATTTAACATGGACAACGACACCCTACGCAAGGCCATTGAGCTTACGGAAGCCTACCTCCTCCTTGCACCTGCTGCAGTGCTAGCCGACTCCTTCCGACCGGCGGTCCTTCAAGCGCTTGCCGAGCTGCTTGGTACCCTAAAGCCTGAAGCAAATGGTATCATGACACACCTTGTGACATGTATAATTCGTGGCGCTGAAGGGGTCGGTGGTGAAGAGGCAATCAAGGTATTGACGGGTGACCTAATATCTACTGGCTTTCTAGCAAAGGTCCTGGAAGGCCTACACGGCGCATGGACACACCACCAGTCTCACGGTCCCTATCGTGAACTCCCGTCTCGTGCTGTCGATGGCGTGGTAGAAACAGACTACTTTACTGTCTTAGCCCGCATCGGCGTCGCTTCTCCTTCTGTACTTCTCGAGGCCCTTGCCTCTCTATCCAATGAAGGCCTGGAAAAGACGCTGGATTGGTTGCTAGAAGAGTGGTTTAGCCATATTGAAAACATTGGCGATGCACCAAACAAGAAGCTCATGTGCTTGGTTCTGACTAGGTTCTTGGAGGGCGGGCAGCCGTGGATGCTGGCAAAGTTGCAGTCATTGATCAGTGTCTGGACGGACGTGCTCAGCGAGTTGCTGGACGGCATGGATGATCGGACGCAAGAGTACGTTGAAGTGTTTCCCTTAGTTTTTTGTGCTTGTACTAACCCCGCTATAGTTCTCTCTACTGGCCTCCAGAGCCTTATCATCCTACTGAGCCCGAAGCCCCAGAAGATGTTCGCAAGCGTGAGCTCATTTACACCGATCCCGTTCACCAGATCAATCTCGTTGCTTTTGTCAGGGAACATTTGCAGCAAGCGATTCAGCAGGCGGGTGGCGAACAAGCGTTTCAAGAGGAGTGGTTGAGTCGGGTGGATAAGGAGGTGCTCAAGGGCTTTGGCGAATTGGGGATTATGTAGGTGGATGGAGATGGCGGTATGGGTGCATGATTATGATGGATTAGATACTATCAAGCGATAAAACGAGTGAAAATGATGCTCTTTCCAGTGTCTCTTATGGAGTTCCGATTGCAAAATTTTTCTCTTTTCTATTTGATGATAACGTTTGGTCAAAATAAGGGAAGGATAAAAATATGTGGCTACAGCATTGCAAAGTCATAACGTCTTGATACCTTCGTATATACATCAATCCACACATGTCCATCCACCCTACTCAACCACCCCCACCTCATCTCGCCAGAGAAAAATCCACATAGCACGAACAACCGCCAACCCACTCCCCTGCGTCTCAATCGTGCGACCCCTCCCCCGATCATTCAAATCCCCACTCACCCGCCTCTCCGTAAACTCCACCTTCTCTCTCTCTCCATACACATCGCTATCATCCCCTTCTCTCACCTCCCCATTCCGGTAATCCGTCGCATTAACCCCAACCTCTACCTCTATCTCCCACCCCTCACCCTTTTTCGCTCCCCACCAACCCCCAAACCTACCCTCCTTATCTCTCGTAGCCAGCGCAGCCTGTGCATTATGCACCACCCACCCCGTATACCCTTTACAACTATTCCGATGCAACGCCGTCACCGCCTTACTCGCCCCGTACGTCTTACCTCGACGAACTGGCTTCCGGGGCAAAGGATCGCAAAACGAAGTTAGATGGTGAAAAAATATGCCCTTGAAGGTTTGCCCGTCTTGGTTGCAGTGGCCCGTGGGGTCGCAGAGTTCGGTTAGGATACCATTTGCACCTAGCCCGTGCCATTTCTTTTCCTCTTCTTTCCCCTTTGCTTTAGCTTGGGAGGATGAGGAAGAAGAAGAAGAAGAAGAAGAGGAAGGGGAGTCAACATCCCACCCTGTAGCCCTAACAACATTCCTGACAAGTTCGTGTCCATCTTCCAAATACCGTGTTTCCCCCGTTGCTTCCCATAGCCCGCGTAGCCCCGAGAGCACGACGCCTTGGTTATAGGTATACACCATTTCGTTGCGGTCGTCGCAGGCGGTTTTGCTGTGGTTGGTGCGGTATCCCGCGATGTGGAAGCCGTCGGTGTAGAGGCCTTGGGTGTTTTGCATGCCGCTTTGCTGGAGCCAGGTATAGCCGTTTAGGGCGTTGGCGAGGTAGATGGGGGAGTAGCGGGGGCGGGTGTGGGGGGTGTCGAAGCAGCCGTCTTCATCGTTGTCGTTGTCTTGCGAGGAAACGGTACTGCTGCTGTGGTTGTTGGAGGCAGTAGATTGGGAGAAAAACGGTGAACAGTTTTCGTCGCCGGGGAAGTGCAGGTACATGTTTATGCTGGCGGAGATGAAGAGTTGGTTTGTGATTGCGTTTTTGTAGGGAAGCAGGGAGGGGTTCCATGTCATGCCTCCGCCGCAGAGGCGCCAGTCCCAGCCTTTTTCGGCGAGTTCGTAGAAGATGCGTGCGCGGTGGGCGAAGGCTGGGATGAATTGGTGGGCGTGCCAGGGTTTTTCTGAGTCGTAGGTTGAGGCAGAGTGATGGGATGAAGAATGCGTTTCGATGAATGTGCTTGCTTCGAGCCAGCCTAACACGACCCAGAGCATGTCGTCGTAGGCTTGCATGCGGATTGCGAAGTGGTCTTCGCCGAAGTAGTAGGCTATGATTTGGGAGAAGTACTTGTTTATCTCGTTTTCGAGCACAATGTCTTCCTTGTCGTGTTTGCGGGTCCGGGAGAAAGTGCTGGGCAGAGTGGAAGAGAGCGTGGAGAGCGTGGCCGAGACATAGGTTGAGGTTACAGCTCCGGTCCAGTCGATCGCTGTGGTGTACTTGCCGAGCCAGATGGCAAAGTAGTGGTCTTGCATTGTTGAGAGGGCAGAGTACAGGTCTTGGAGGATGTTGAGTTCTGTGAGGGAATGGCTGGCTGGTGTATTTCCCTGTGGTATTGATGGGGAGTCTTCAGGCGATGCTCGCAGAGGCGACTGGGATCCGTCATGTACGTCAAATTTGTACTTTGTTTGCGCATCTCCTAGAGGGCTTTTGTGAGCTCGCAATCTGCAGACTGCATTTCTCAGCCTTACCTTGTGCATCTTGTGGGTGTGAAGTACCAGCTACCAGCCCCGTCACGAACGCAATCACAAGCAACGATAACAACATCCTCAATCGCCAGACTGGCGCGATAACAGAAAACGCCATCTTCAACGCCCCAAAAATCTCCGAAGCTCTTTCTCAAGTCAAATTACCAAGCTAATCCAAAACATCCAGCGACGCGTAACCCTTTGCAAAGTACGTAACCTGTGCTCACGCGCCCAAGTAACAAATCCTACAGCAAAAGCATCCAACGGGTAGAATGAAGCCAGTGAAGAACTCCAACCGGCAGAGCGAATAAAGTCATGGTAAAAGAGGAGAAGGTTGGGGGCGGCGATTTGTCTGAGGCTGATACGAATCTAGCCAAGTCCACCTTTTGCCGCGCTTGCATGTTCCGGCGCTTTTTTTGCTTCTTGTTCCTGGGTGTATTCATCCTTGAAGAACGACGATCCATTGATGGTAGACCTGCTTTAAAAAACGTGGTACATTGCTACGTTGCAAGAAAGACGCTACAACACGCAGCACCTACATACTTTCCCACTTCTGCAGTATGTAATACATACGTGGGGGGAGCAGACACATCCAACGCCGCGCCCAGACCTAGCCGTAACCCCGCCCCGCCCCCCCTTCGCGTGGTGGTTCCAACGCACAGACCCCACGCCATTCCATCCCAACTCGTTTAAAAAAAACACAAGATCTCTTCCACGACAACAACCACTACCACTACCACGACGACGACAACGCAAATGACAAAAAGAAAAGAATATGTTGATAGAAGTGGGATTCGAACCCACGCAGATTTCTCTACTAGCACCTGAAGCTAGCGCCTTAGACCGCTCGGCCATTCTACCGGAGAGTGATAGATGATGAGTTTCAAAATTGGATGGGATTTGGATTGAGTTTTATGGGTGTAGAAAGGCATTTTGAGCCATTGGAGAACAGCTGGTATAGGTTCCAGCAAGGCTTGATCCTCTTGCTCGACTCTACAAATGATTTTTGTCTGTATAAGTGGGGTACATGGTACTTGGAGATAAATTCTCTAGTCAGCCGCATATCCGAGTGGAGCACGGGATTAGGGACGCAAGGATCATAAGAAGGGTTTATTTGATAGGCTGTTTGTTTGAGTTGGGGGTCTGATCAGGATGTTGGATCAGGGATGGGTAGGATGTGGAACTGGTGGGTATCAGTCAAGTTCTGTTCTGGGTGATAGCCAGTTGGGATGGGCCTGTCCAGTCCCTTCCTAAGAAGCACCTGCTTGGAACCTTGGTATGTTGCTTTCGGAGAGCTATGGCTAGCATGTATAGTAGCATATTTATATAGTACTAAGCACTAGTGAGTGTTTGTCAAATTCCATATTCCTCTACTCAATGGAGACGGAGGCAGATGTCCAGCAAAATGTGTATTTCTTTGTCAACTATCCACCACTCTAGGTGCCACAGAGGGAGCGCTCATATTGATTGATTCAGCAAACGAGCGCATCCATCTAGAACTCCCAATTGCAATGTTTTTTTCTTGAAGATGAATCTAACAGAAACATTTGACCTGGACGCCTGCATTCAACCTGTCAATCTAGGATCTTAGAGGCATTGGCGACTAAAAAGCCCAGAAAGCTCATTCGTGAAGATTCCAAGGAACGTTGAAGATGCCGATATCCGCACTAGTGCTGAATGTTAATCGTAATCATGTGCAGTCCGACAATGTGAGGGATGGACTGGCTTGGCGGGCAGCTGTGAGTAAAGCAAGTTTTGCCGACTACATGTACACAGTACGTCGTAACGACTCTTTCAGACGCGTCCTGAAAACAGCATGCTCATTCTACTAGTTCAATTTTCGAGAGCGCGTATCCGGTTCATAACGTCACAATGCTAGTCACATGAAATTTTTCAGTCAAATCACAAGTATAGTGGCCTAGTGTGATGTCAGCCAATCGTTCGATGGAGAAATAGATGACATGTACTCACAACAGTCATGACAATGCCCGGCATGGCTCACGGAGGGCCAGACCGGTGAACTGGTATTGTAATTCCTGATACAAGGCTGCCGGCGACCTGTACTGTCGAGCGGCTTCCAAGATGATGCATCCAAGCCTTCATATCGCTGTATAAGGGATCCCCACGGTGTAGTATCAATACGCAAAGCTGGTTCCACAAAAGGCTACTCGTCGTCCATATCTTCGCGACCGGGACTCCTGCTCCTCGCCCTCGCCGCACCACGCCCACTCTGTCTCCTGTCATGGTCGCGCGCACGGCCCTTGCTGGCTGGCGGTGGTCGTACAAAAGCGTAGTCGACGGTGACCTTTTGCTCGAGAAGTTCTTCGCCATTGGCGCCCTTTATGGCCGCCTTTGCTTCGTCCAATGTGGCGTATTCGATCAGTGCGTAGCCCTGTTCAGCATTAGCCATGACACGGTGATCCTTGGACAGGCTCAGGCGCGTACCTTGACATAACCCGTACGCCGATCGAGGTTCATGTGCAAGTTCTTAACAGTGCCAAATTCGCCAAACATGTCCTGGAGATCCTCCTCGGTCGCCTCCTCGTGGACATTGGTGACAATGATGATCCAGCCCTCGATAGAGCGCACAGCTGTTGCGCCCGCCGCCGTCTGCGCGTCGCTAGCCTTTGGGTCAGCAGCTGGCACGTCTTGCTGCTCGGGCTGGTCGATGTCCATTTTGGCGTCTTCTTCCATGGCTGCGGTGTGTGGTTGGCTGAGGATTGCTTGATTGGCGGAGAGTGGGTGACTGTGGATGCTGCAGCTTTCCCATCGCCAAAAGCTGCCCTGGCTGAGCGGCTCGCGCTAGTCGACCAGCGCCGGTGGTTTCCCTTGCCCGCCGCGAACTCAACGCCCAGCATTGCCAACTGCCTTCCAATGCCCGGAACCGGAACGGCACAAAAATCCCCAACGTCTGCGTGATACCTGCATACACAATGATTACTGTATCCACTTCTCCGAGCCCTGCCGGAGCGCCTATAATAAGAGGGCCGCCCGTCCTCCATTTTGATTATCACTCAAGCTACCAACCCCACCGACGTCACTGTTGTCGTTACGTGACAGAAGAATTGACACGCCCTAACCTCACCATGCTGCAATTCCTCGATAAATACGTGCACTATCAAGACCCGAGTCTTCCAAGCTTCTCTTCCCTGACTACTCTATACTTTATCATACTCGCGTCTTCGCTGCTCATTTCTCTACGTTCGTCACAACTTGAAGAAGAGAGAGCACGCTAGTCACCATGTCCCAATTCACACATGTCTGTATGCCAACCGCCATTGAGATTGCCCTGGCTGATTCAAAAAGATCGCTATGATCGGTTGTGGCAGTATGGGCGGTGGTATGGCCCTGCTCTTCGCTGAGATTGGAGTCCATGTCTCCCTCTCGGATCCTTCGGAAGAGGCCATGGACGCTGTCATGCAAAAGGCAGAAAAGCAAGGCTATCACGGAAAAGTAGACAAGTATACAGGTCCGCTGACTCGCCCAACACCTTCAAGGCGCGAGATTAACGAATGCAGATTACGATTCACTCTGCAAGTCACTGTCATCACCGCGCCTGCTCGTCTTCTCTCTTCCACATGGCGGTGTTGGTGACAAGGTCCTCGAAGGCCTGGAGCCCCACCTCTCTAAAGGTGACATCACACTGGACTGCGGCAACGAACACTTTGAAAACACAGAGCGCCGACAGGACAAATGCAAGGGCACTGGCATCCGCTACATTGGTTGTGGCGTCAGTGGTGGATACCAAGCGGCCAGGGCCGGGCCCTCCATGTGTCCCGGTGGTGACATTTCCGCACTCAAAGAAGTACTCCCCCTTCTGCAAAAGGTTGCAGCCAAAGACAAGAACGGGCAACCATGTGTTGGTGTCATTGGCAAGGGCGGTGCCGGACACTATGTCAAGATGATGCACAACGGCATTGAACATGGCATGATGAGTGCTATCTCTGAGGCGTGGGGTATCATGCGAAGAATGGGTATGGACTATGAGGAGATCGGCGATGTGCTTGCACAATGGAATTCGGAAGGCGAGCTGGTGAGTTTTAGTTCTACGACTTCTTGGTGTCGCACGCTGACAACACATGTAGAGAGGCACCTTCCTCGTTTCTATTGGCGCAGACTTATCGCACAAACGAGATGGAGGACGTCTCGTCATCGCTGAAGTGCTTGATAAGGTTGTCCAAGATGTGACTGGCGAGGAAGGCACTGGTGTATGGAGCAATACCGAGGCCATCGACCTGCACGTCTCGGCCCCTACCCTCAATGTCTCCCACGCATTCCGCCTAGCATCTGCATTCCGTGGCGACCGCGAAAAAGCGAACCAAACTCTTGATGGTGGGTTCCCGCCCAATGAACTTACCGTCTCCGACAAGAAAGCATTTATCGAGGACTTGCGGCAAGCGACCTATGCAGCCTGCCTCGCCAGCTATATTCAAGGAATCAACGTCATTGCCACTGCGGACCGGACACACGAGTGGGAGATTGACTACTCGCAAGTATGGCAGATTTGGCGTGCTGGTTGCATCATTCAAGCTGATTACATCTCCGATGAGATTCTCGCCCCTGTGTTAAAGTCGAAGCCATCGTCTGAAGGCCTGAATCTCAACTTCTCTTCTCGCGTTGCCAAGGATGTCATGAAGTGTTTCCCAGCACTTCGACGGGTCGTTGCCAAGTCGATCGAGACAGATCAGGTGGTCCCTGCTATCAGCGCAACATTAGAGTACTTCAAGGTCGTCAGCGGAACTGATCTGCCCACTTCGTTCTATGAGGCCGAGCTTGACTACTTTGGTAGCCACATGTTCGACAAGAAGGATGATACGGATCCAAATGTGAAGAAGCCCGTGGAAGGCAAGCACCACTTTGAGTGGAAGCCGGCAACAAGCCAGAAGGAGCAGTATGGGAAGAACTATTCGCTGTGAGGTGGTATGGCCACAAGTTTTACTTGCAAGTGAATGTTACTTAGTATCTCTCATAGCTTCGGGCTCCAAAGCAATAGTATAAGTATGACCATCGGCAAGCACAGACAATTTCTCGATCTTAACACTCGTAGCATTATGGACTGATTCCCCCAAGACAAAAAAACGTGAATTCCAATCACGTTCCCAAATCATTTCTTTTCTGGGATTATATGCACCACTCTCATCTTCCTTTGTCCTATCCGTCACACACCCTAAGGCTCCACAAGGAACCCTTGACTCGTCACCAACTTATCACTAACCTTATCCCCAACATCTATCGTAACATTAAACGACGTAAACCCTACATTCCCAACAATCGACGCAACCGTAAACACCGACGCCACAATCTCAATTTTCTTCTGCTTATTAAACTTCTGAATACCATCCGGCGCCGTCACCACCAGCTTCACGGGTGCCTGCTTGGGGTTTGGGGGCAGATGGTAGATCACTGGGTACTGCCCCACACTGTTGATGCTGCCGGGAGGATTGTTGTAGCCCCATGTTACGGCGACGTCGGTCCAGAGGTATGCGGGATCGAATCTCGTGTTGAAGGTTATGGTGTAGGGTTTGTTGGGGGCGATCATGGCGGGGACGGTGAAGCTTTCGATGAAGGCTGAGGCCGTGGAGAGGGTGGTTAGGAAGAGGGTGAGGGGTGTGAAATGCATTTTTGAGAGGTGAGAGGGGAGGGAGATTGGGTGGCGGTTGTTTAGAAGAGAAGGGATGAATGGATGTGTGCGTGAGTGTAAGTGCCATTCTTGTGCTGCGTTTATATACTTTTTACTTGATTGTCGTATCGTGACTTTTAGACTTTGTACCAACGGGCATGCCATCCTCCTCTTCCGTAGTCATGTCCGTGTACAGTATACATTTACAATTTGAGATCGCTAACGGCATGCAAAAGCGACCGAGACATCACCCGCCTACCCGCTACCCGTTAGCTAGATCCTAGTAACCGAACCTCTGTCCTGGAGGGGCTTGTTGAATATGGATTTCTGGCCCAGTACTGGGTGACCGCTAGTGTAATCATAGATGGTGGCGGGTATGTCACCGCCTGGATCGCTGACGAATAAATACAGTGATATGAACGGAACCAGCCGTTTCTTTTCCCGCATTCCCTCACCGCATACCTACCCCCACGCACTACTGTGTAAAGTTCCATTGCTTCCAGAAACCTAAACTCAATTCTCTCGGTATAGCTACGGTGAGTTTTGCTCCGCGATTGGTACATCATTCCGATGCTTGTTACCACGACCTTCATCATTGCAGCTTGGTATTGCGATTATGGTTCTCAGAGTAAGTATAGAATTACATCCTACGTCTTGTGTGTTTATCAGAAGAAGGAATTTAGCAGTACATGGATGACAGGTATGTCTGACTAGCGGTCTCGAAAGCGGGACAGGGATCAACTACGGAAACTATCGTTGATGCACGTTTCCTATATTAGAGCTATAATCAGCCGCTTTCACCTTAGAGTTGCCAGGGGGTTGTCAGTATGGGAAAGTGCTTACATGAGACTGTTGAGGTTTGTTCGGTCATGGACCGAATAGTATGGCGGACATGTCATAAGTTGGGTCCGTGGATGTAAGTGAGTGATTCGGAGAATTCAGAAATGGGAATGAAGGAAGAAATATTTGAGGAAAGTGACTAGAGCCCGTTCGCCGTGGAGCGCGTTCCCCGCTAAAGTCGAAGGCAACGGATGAGGAAATCTTTGGAGACACAATATGATGGGTATCTCTTAGTCCTAAGTTCGCAAAAAGAATACAACGTTAGGGCCAAAATCAATTGTTATTGCTATATTATCTTGCTGTTTACCTCGTCAGACGTACCAGTTTCCATGAGGTGGGAAACGAAATGTAATGAACAAGGGAAAGCTAACTCTAAAAAGAAAGTGAGTCATTAGTCTGTGGAAAATGAATAGATAGATCTTAGGAGACACAGAAAGGATCTAGAAACATAACTAGACATATGTTTTTAAGGATCAGGATTCGATGCATACTTCTACCTAGAACTAACCGCTCTAATTTGTTCCGTACCTAGCAAGGTTACTAATAGCTCCCAGTTTGGTACGAAGGGTTATGGCAATGAGCAAGAGTGAAATATGGGACAGCAGACTCCTAGCTATACTTGCATAGCTGAGTTTCTCTCTACTAAGTATCTTTTTTCGCTAGAGATAGCTTTTCATCAGAGAGATTGCAATCAAGGTATATTTGCCTATATCTAGTGCTGAACTAAGATAAGAAAGAATATCGGTAAACGGCTGCACCAAGATGCAGGCTACCTTATTTTAAGCTTTTCTTTAAGATTCATTTAGACCCTGCTATTTCTCTTAAGAAAAAGAGTTTAATGTAAGCAACTGTTCGAATAGTAAATTACTTCATCTAAACAAAAGTTCGTAGCATCCTGGCTTTCAGAACAAAGATCTTTGATTTAGCAAAAAGTTAATAATGTGGAAAACAATGCGACATTTTTAACATGATTTTCTTCCTAGCAAAATGTGAGACCAAAATTTATCTTCAAAACAAAGTGATTGGTTTCAACAACTTAAGGGACCAAAACTCATATTTTGCGGCCCACGGTTCCTTGAAGAGATAACTAAAATTCAAACGTGCCCACCTTCCTCTTGTTTCTCTCGCTATCACACTAGAAACCTCATATATCCTTCATCTCCTTCGTTCCTTCCGCCATCCCTAACACCTTTGTATTTTTTTTTAAAAAAAAATATTAGCAAAAATCATCATCTCCACCATCCTCTCTCCACCGGACCTGGTACCTCTACACAGTAACCCCCAAATTCCTTATCCCCCACCCATGTCATTCACTCTCGAAACCATCCCAGCCCCCAATATCACCTCCTCCATCCTCTTCCAATGCGCCACCCTCTTCTCCTCCGCATACGGCATCTGGGGCTCTCACGCCGCCCAAAAAGTAGCCAAACACTGCAAACACGGAAACCGCATCCGGCTGTCCGTCGAGCGTCTCCGGGCGCAATCCTTGGTCCCAGCCGCTGATAGCGTACTCGTTCGCGCCATGCATGGCGATGAGCTTGCTGGGTACACGTTTGCTACAAGATGGATGTATGAGGGGAGGAGGATTTGCTGGGTTACGCAGCTTTGTGTAGGGAGCCAGTGGAGGAGGAGGGGACTTGCGACCGAGGTAAGTCTTTCAGATCTTTTCATGTCAATGTTTCGTGTTGAACGGTATCTGTGTGGCTAGCTCGCGGGCCTTTTTGCTTGCCTGAGGATGGGAGGTTTTTTTTTGGGTGCTAAGAGGTTGAAGATGGCAGTTTTTGCTGACTTTGCGTAGTTGCTGCGTCGTTTGCGTGAGGATGGGGACTACGCTTTTGGCATTTTGTCGTCGCATCCAGCTGCTATTATGGCAGGGCTGCGTGCATGGGGCAGGGGAATCGAGAATGTCGATGTGGATTTGGTGAAGGAACATGGTGCTGGCATTATGGCTGCGTCCCCGGTTCAATATGTTAGAGATGCTAAGCTCAGGGGTAGTTTCTTCGGTAGTGGAGATGACGATAGCGCAGTATGTTGTGCGGATACAGATTTTTGGGTTGATCATGCTGAACCTTTGGCTACGTTGGCTGAGGTTAAGAGGAGATTTACTTGGCCATTTGGACAGCTCCCTGAAGGATGCGAGTTTTTGGCTCTGATTCAGGGTGTTTGAAAGTTGAAGTCGATTATATCCAGCTGTCTCACCCGATTCCACAACATGTTATCATCAACATCTCTAGTTCAGACTGTGATCATCGTCATGGAATATATTCGGCCCTTTCCAAAAACACTAGTAACACGTAGAATGATCTGCTTCACAAGGCGAACGATCGCCAAAGCGGATGCACGCGGGACGGAACCAGGGCTTTTGAAATGAACAAGGATGAATGTTATCATTTGACGCAATCATCTTGAAAGTTTAAAGCTCAGGTTCATAAGAGATGGATTTCTATGACGTTGATACTACATCCACTACATTCCATCTTGGTTAAGCTGGTTTCACGGCATGGATAAGCCTCAATAGCTTCAACCTCAAACCCCTCATCTTCTCATTACATTATTTGCGAAGCTCAGATTGAGTGTTCTGTTCCTCAAATTCTGTAATATCATTAGCAAAATGTAATACCAGGTATATATGTCAATTACTCACCCTCAAGCCAATCCACAACGAAGTTCTTCAAAAACTGCTGCGCATACACAACCTGCGGTGGAGGCAGGTCAGGTGTAGTCTGGTTCTCGAAGATACCATTCTCTTCCCAATGGTGCACACCGTGGCTAATAAGTAACCAAGGTTCCTCAGTCGAGGTGTTGCGGCTGTCTGGATACCACAATGGGGTTGCAGGCCTCCAGGGATCGGCGTTTCCACCGATAAACGCGAGACGCTCGTACGCAATGTCGAACCCACCGTATTTGTTGATGCGCTCAACATCCGGAGGGGTCTCGATTCCGAACTGTGCGCGGCAGAAGAAGGTCAGGTATTCGAGGTCGAGGGTGCGCGAGATCAAGGGCATGATATCCTTGGGTGTGTTGCCGGTTTGGATGTAGCCCCATTCAGTACACACTTGGTAACCCCAGCTTACATAAGGGTAGTCTTCGAGTGAGCTGGCCGCTTGGATGGAGGTAGCGTTGATTGTCGTAAAGAAGCGGTCTTGGGACACGTCTGATTCGCGCCAGTTTGCGACCGCGGTGCGGTTGAGCCAGACAATGGCGTTGAGGGTTATGTCCTGGACTGCTGTGTCGTTGGGGTAGCCAGCTGCTGAGACGAGCTTAGCAACCTCTGGACGCAGGTTCTCGGCAACAGGCTCCTCGTTGGTGATGTTCTGGCAGTAGTTGAAGAACGAAGGAGAGTTCTCCTCGGGATCCCAGCTTGTGCTTTGGAGACCGTAGATACCAGTGAGCTGGTTTGCGAAGTCACGGTTGTCCGTGACTTGGCCCAGGCCAAAGACATTCTTGAGCGATTGGACCAAGGAAGTATCGTTTTGGCGCAACAGGATGCCGTCAACTACATCGATCAAGAGTTGAGTGTTCTTGATACAGTCTGGAGGTCCGTAAATCCTGGCGGGCTCAAAGTACTCCCAGTAGTCATAGATGGCTTTGGTGACACCTGATGATGAGATTGCTCCCCAAAAGGTCTCTGGGTAGACTACACGCAGGAACGCAGCTTGCGCTCCTGCGTAAGATCCACCGTAGACGATCCACGGGGTGTTTGGAGCTGTCAGATCCGCATCAATTCCATCAAACTTGACGTTCCTCGCAAAGTAGTCAATCTCAGCAAGAGATTGCTCCGTTGACAAGAAACGCATGTTCTTGGTGGTAAGATCCGGAACGGGGAAACTCGTTCCATAGTAACGGTGTTCCAGGATGACGCCTAGACCATTAGTGGCCTTGATGACCTGATGTACAATTCCCTTTTGGAGGAAAGGTAGGCGGCCCACTCCGCTGGTTTCTCCGCTGAGAAGGACAAATACAGGGCCGCCTGGCTTGTAGTAAGTGTCATCGAACCAGTATCTCAAGTTGAAAGATCCATTGCTGTGCGGTTCGTAACGAGTCTCGTTGTGGAAGAAGTCGACCGGTACAGACAAATTGCGTTCCGGGTATAGCAGGGATGGGTCGGTGTCTGCGCGTTTAGCAAGACTGCGACGAGTCTGTGCTTGGAACTAGTTATGCTGTCAGATTCACCGGACCATATTATTTACTTAGTATCGTGCCATTGGGCGTCGACTACATTTCGCTCGAATTTTGCCGAGTAAGCACCAGATGACGCTAGTATTAGAAATAGCTCGTTATCGCAGTCATAGGGAGGAGAATAGTGAGACTTGCTCCAATCTGAACTTAATGCTACATGAACAATGGAAAAATCGCCTTACCTCCTGCTCCCTTTCCGCAATGTTTCTTGGTGAAAGCCTGAGCCCAGAAACAGCCTGAAGGCCGGAAAGGACCGCTGCGACTGCAATTGAAAGACGCATGATGGGAATGCGTTGGTCGCCAACTTGGATCGAAGAATGGGCACCACTGCGCTTCTTATATACTCGCACACGAAGGAAGACCGAGCTTCAACAGCCATGATGACTATCTGCCCCGGCCCATACATATCAGAGGCTGGTAGATTGGCCATGATTCGGGAAGGTGGTTAAAGTAGTGTGCCGTCGCTAGCGCAAGGTCGATGCTCGAACAAGCAGGAGAACCGGTGATCGGCAGCTGTGGAGCCGTGGGCCGTGGCGCACAGCAAGCTTTATGGGTTGGCTGCTTAAAAGTACCTCAAAAGCGTTAATAAAGGATCGTGTTGGTGCCATTACACCGAACAGTGCGCAAGTGGTGTGCAACCATCAGTTGGACATGACGTGGTGGCGATACCCCACCTTCACCTTGTCTATCCAGGATTAGCTCGCTTGATCCGTTGAACTCTGATAACACCCCTAATATCATTCTAGTATTAAGGGCATCCCGGAAATAAGTCAAGCAGTTCAAATCAAGCGGAAGTCCCTCAAGCGGTCATCCTGTAAGCCTTCATCTTGGTACATCAGCCCGTCCACAAAAGCCTCGCCTACGAGCTTGTGATAGGTTGCAGAGGGGATCCTTGCTGGGCTTCTGTTGACGCAGCGTCGCAGTATGAAGGGTATTTTTCCACCCAAGAGAACGGAAACGGTATCTCCTCTCTTCATATCCCATGGACCTAAGCCAAACATTCCATTTTTAGTGACAAAGAATCGGCGGCAGATACAGGCATTGTACACCGCGAGTCTATATTTTTTATCTTCATCGTCGCATGGATCATCCTGCGGGGGCTTGATTCTTCTCCTCCAGTCCGTAGGTTCAATCTGCCAGCAATCCGCAGTGACAGCGCGATTAAAGGATTCTCTCAGAGCAGATGTTTCTGTATGTCCCAGCTCCTCATCAGCGACACGCTCCCAGCTGCGCAAAATCTGGCCCCAATCAATTTTTTGCCAGGGTTCTCTTACGGGAACGATGCCCGTTCTTGCCACTACGTCAATCTTGCAACCTGCGACTGTTAGAATACGATGCTCTAGATTAATTGCGAAGGATGGGGGATGGCGGCCCGATGCCGAGAACGGTCGGGACGATTCAAGATCTAGCAATCTCTTGGCTTTGAAAAGAAACGGATGATCATAGTTGAGTCGCCAGTCTCGACACCAACTCGCATCGTGAAGTTGTGCCCCAGGTGCATAACTGAGTATGTCCAGGTTTTTCATGTGGACTAGACAAGACTCGGTAAACTGCAGGAATACTTCATCTGGCGGCTTGCTATAATCAGGCGTAATTAGAGAAGGGTTGTCCGAATGTAGTAAACCAAGCAGGGCGTATATCTTGTCTGATCCAAATGTGGCCGATTGTAGTCGAAAGCGGATAACGAGGTCACCTAGTGTGACGCCGGAGTCTTCGGCGTCATTCGCCTCTTCTCTGAGGCTTTGGATATACTTAGCAAATGAGGGGGGCCTGTAACCCCTGAACAAGTCGTTTGCGAAGGGGCCGTATGTGAATAATTTGTGCATGGCTTCCCAATCCACTTGGAAGGCACCACATTGCATGACTACGTGACGTCCAACGACAACCTCTTGAACAACCCAGGCACGGCGCCACCAGTCATGCCTAAAGATACGGAGGTATTCTTTCTGCATGCTCATCCAAGTCGACTGCGTGGTGTGATTGCCCCAAAGTGTGTCGGTTTCCTCTGTCTTTGCATTCCCAAATTGCCGTACAAACTCGAACATAGAACCAGTAGCAGGAGCTGATTCGCCCAACCACACCACCACCTTTGAAGCTTTCGAAAATATATCTCGCATCATTTGAACTTGGTTGCTCTTTTCTGTGTCATCATGCTGATTGATGCATACAGCGTCAACCCAGAGTAGTCTTTCATGCTCGGTGTTGCGCAGCTCTTTGAGTGCACTATACAAGTTGTATCCGATGTAAAATGGCTTCTCATTGACCTTGATGGCGTATGGACGTAAGGTTACACCCCAGAAGTAGCTGAGTGCCTCAAATTCCACGAGCGGAAGAGGTTCTTCAATCAAGTCGCATGTGATCTCTTCCTCACATCTCCCTGGCGATAGTCGCAGAACCCGGATTCGAGATGGCCCTTGCGGAAGATCGGAATAAACTTGGGCATTCTTAGCCAGCATCCTGTTCTTTAATCTTGGGTATATTATCTCAAAGACTGGATACCGATAGAGCGCGAACCACAGAAAGATAATTATAGAAAAAAATGCAATAGAAAGCGAGTTTAGTAGCCAAACTATCAGCAGAGACGCTATAGCCACGACTAGAATTGCCAGAGCGGGAAGGACAGCTATGGCTGCTAGTATGAATCCGACCAAATAGCTAATGGCAAGGCATGCATATTTCTTTCCGAGACATTTCGACGATGTGTGTCGGTGGATAAGGTCACCTAAGTGCGTAAAGACTACCGACTTGAATAAGGCTGTCCCCTTTCGCGTGAGGAGAGAAGTAAAGGACCATATAACCGGAGTTACGGATTGTGATTCAGACCAATGATGGTGCCACCGACGAGCCACGGAACCTGGGTCTACGCGTGCGCCCATGGGATATATGGTCCACATACTGCGCGATACATTTCGAAAAAAGAAAGCCATAATAAGTGGATTGATGGCTGCCTAGAGGCATAGTTAGTAAAGTGCAGTACTGCCAATTTGCGTGAGCCCTCCGGAGGGGTCTTTTTTGTTTAAACACTTGATCCTTAAATGTCACAACATACGCACCCTTTTCACTAGGTATACTTGAAGGATGAACAGGGTTCTGGGTGAGATGAGCAAAGGAACTTGTGGGGCGAACATCGAGATAAGAGTAGAACACTGACTGCGCCATTTTGGCCCCCAACCGGGCTGGAGACGTCACCCTGCGCCACTTCAGCCTCAGGATAACGACCATGATATTATGCAGCTGTTAGGATTTGAATAGTTGTAGTATGATGTGAAAATTATGAGAGGCAAATCCGCATTACCAGGACGGTTTCTACGGGAGCGGCGTTCTCCATTGAAAACTGTTGATAAGATATCATATGTACTGAAGGCAGGTAGCTAGGTTGGAAAATGAGCTGAGTAGCCTTTTCAGCTCTCTACCGCATGCTAGGTTCTTGTCACGTGGTAGCTAGCGCCTTAAGTAATGGCAATGGCGACCTCAGCTACTCGATCATAGGCCGAAAACCAAAATATCAACACGGATAAAACTCACCCAGAATGAAGAAAAGATAATGAATAGGTATACGTAAACTTCAACCACATAAATTCATACAGTATCGTCACAAACTTCTGTACACCCCCACACCCCAACCTACCATCCCCTACTTCGTCACCTGCTCAATCCGCTCCACCGTCACATTCTTCTCCCCTCCCACCCCCCTCTCCTTCACATCCGCCAACGCCGCCTCCCCTACATCCACCGCCTCCTCGCCATCAAAGAACTTTGCAATCTCCTCCATAGGCGTATACCTCGTCTCCACAATACAAAAGTAAATCACGCCAATCTCAAAGGCGAGAAAAACGCAATAGCAAATGTAGTAGCGCCACTGGATAGCGTCGAGCGCGATGCCGTTGACGAACTGGTTGAAGAAGAGGGCGGCGGTGACGCAAAAGTTGAGCCAGGTGAAGCCTTTGGCGCGGAGGCCGTACGGCAGGATTTCAGTGGTGTAGCCGGCCATTATGCCGGATTTGATGTCGTAGAAGATGCCGTAGAAGAACTTGTCCAACACATCAGCACTATAGCTCTGTTTTTTGGGGGAGGGTAAACTCACGATGCTAACTATGAAGCCTTTACCGAGAGGGGCACGAGGAGCTGCGTCGTAGCGCGCGGAAATAATAGTAAAGATGTTGAACATGACAAAAGTTCCGATTGTAGAGATGAGATAGATGGGGCGACGACCGAGTTTGTCGACGAGAAAGGCGAAGAGGAAGTTTTCGCACAGGGCGAGGGTTTTCATGCCGCCATTGATGCCGAGTTGCGTGTGGGGATCTGTCAGGCCGACGTTGTCCATGACGTACTTGAGGTAATAGGAAATCAAGCCGTTGCCGCTCCACTGGCTGAAGAAGCCGATGGCGGTGATGATGGTGATTCGCTTGCGGTTGCCCTTGGTTTTGAGGAAGTCGGACCAGCTGGTGGCGTTTTGCTGCTTGTCCAAGTCGATGGCTGCGCGGACTTCGGCGTATTCGAGTTGGACGAACTCGTCGTTCTCGTCTCCTTCACCGTGCCATTTGGAGAAGACGGCGAGAGCCTCTTCGTGGCGGTCTTTGTTGCATAGCCAACGAGGGGATTCGGGCATGAAGGGTACGAAGGCGATGATGATTAGGGAGCAGATTGCTTGGAGAAGTGAGGGCAGGCGCCATGACCAGTCACTCTGTCTCGTATTAGTGATGATATCATTATAAGAGATTTCACAGCAGGGACTAAGGTACCGCGAGATATGGTACTCTCTCCTGACATACCTGAATCTGAAGTGTCCCATAAGTAACCCAAGACGCAATAAAAGCCCCAGAATGGTAGCTTGCACCTGATAGGGTGACCAAAACAGCGCGATCCTGGGGATGAGCAATCTCCGCAATAAGCAGCGGAGCAGAGCCCAGCACAATGGTATCTCCAAACCCAAGGATCAGTCTAGCAGCGATGAACATGCCAATGTCCTGTGCTCCTGTCTGCAGTCCAACAGCGCACAGCATGATTGCACACCCAATCATGACACCAATCTTCCTGCCCTTCCAATCGATAAGGTAAGGCGTGAAGAACAGTCCGATGAGTGAACCAAGAGACATCGATGCGTTGAAGAAACCAAGCATGGCACCACGGGGTGCACCAAAGTAGTCCTGCCAGTAGGAAAGCGATTGGAGACCCTTGTCACTCGTCAGCATGAATCAACGTGTGAAAGCGGGTGTTACCAACATTCATCATACTCCCGTCGAACCCATTAGCCGTGTTAGTCAAGATAAGAATGACAATGTAGATGTAAAGTCTACGCAGATTGGGTCGCTTCCACCATGGCAGGCGCTCAAAAGCACGACCAGCAAAGAAAAAATGGCCCTTTGGCGGCTTGACGGGCACGACCTTTTGCGTGGTCTTTGGCGGGCGAAGAGAGAAGCCCATGATGGATGATGGTGTGATGCCCAGGTTTTGCTGAAGAACGCAGTATAACAGCCTGCCCGCCCCGATGAAAAGCAACAAAAAAAAGGGAAATCTCGTTGGCTACAGCATCTATATACTTTTTTTCAACGGCCCAGGCGCACATACAAAACCAGGAGGCATACACTGCCGCCAGTTGCTCGCGTGCGGTCCCACTTGCACGGTATCTAAACCGGGGCCAAACTCCTTGAAGGAGCCAAGATGGGTGAATTGGGCTACATTTGCCTGGCCTTGTCCCGCAAGTCAAGCACCGCCGTCTCATATTCTGGTGTAGAGCGCGCCCATACCAAGGCACTGCGGTCTTGATGGCTCTGGGCGCCAGCGTTGTCGGGACTTGGGGGCCCTGGGGCAGACGACTAAGCCCGAACCTGAATGCGGGGTGAAGCTAATCTAGGGCGGAAGTGACCCCATGGGGCACAACAGGCTAAAGATCGTCAGAAACGTTATCTTTTTGCTTCGTGTGGTTGAGATAGAAGAGGTGCAGTTTGGCCTATCCCGCGCTGGTTGCTATTGGCTATGGAGAGGCGTGGGCCGGAGCGATACTGGAAGTGTTTTAGTGCTGTGGTGTGTGATTCGACGTCTACCATCTGTACATTGATAGCCGATCAAGCTTTCAGTACAGCCTTGAGCTGGACACCAGCCAACGCCACCAAGAAGCGCGCCTAGACACTAAGTACAGTCTTGGGGCACCGCGCTGGGACCATAGGCGCGTCTAATTTGATCCTTTCACTTGAGAACACTATTTGGGCTGTCTTCTGCATACCACTTTATCACTGTGATATAAATTGCAGATCATGTTCGTTAGACTCGTAGCACCCGTCTGCCACTCAGGGCACGCTTGCGCTGAAGTGAGATGGACCTGGTTTACCATTCAGGTCTTCTTGATGAGAAGTAAGCGGTTGACACGGTAATAAACTAAGGGTTGAGCGACTTTGTTCGGGCGCGGTCCCTGGTTACATCATTGGGCTGAGATGTCACATGATGTTAAGGTTTGATAGTCGTTGTCAAGACGGCAGAGAACAAGATGGATATGACACTCCTTCATGCGCCTCTTTTATGCATTTACCCGGCCAAATACCCGATGCACTAGGAGAGCAACATCAGACTACACTCGATGATTCGCACACAGAACAAAGAGTAAACTATGATACCACCCCTCTAGAAAAGTCTAAATCACTCGACCAATTCACAAGGTTCCTTTGGTCAGCCACACAGCACTACAATGACCACCGACTCGCCCATCAACCCAATCATACCGGGCTTTGCCCCGGACCCATCGCTCATCCTAGTCGACGACACGTATTTTCTAGTAAACTCGACCTTCCACCTCTTCCCCGGCCTCCCAATCTACACTTCGCGTGACCTCGTCCACTGGCACCAAATCGGCAACGCCATCAACAGCGCCTCACAACTCAGCTTCTCCAAAGCCTCAACCCTGATCCACGACATTGGCAACAACGACCACCTGTACGCCACAGGCGGCTTATACGCACCCACGCTCCGCCACCACAACGGCACATTCTATATTGTCTGCACCAACGTCGTAAACCACCGCCCGGACTCCGCCCAAGAAAGCGAGACCCAAAACTTCATCATCTCCACCACCGACATCTACGCCTCCGCCTGGAGCGACCCCATCTACTTCGACTTCACCGGCATAGACCCCAGTCTCTTCTTCGATCCCCAAACAGGAAAAGCATACCTCTGCGGCTCAAAATCCCCGGGGCCCTCCACAAAAATCACTCTGTTCGAAATCGACGTGAGCACAGGCGAGAAATTGACAGAGGAAAAGTACCTCTGGCACGGTACGGGAGGCATATACCCCGAAGGCCCGCACATCTACTTCCACAATGGCTTCTACTACCTCATGATAGCCGAGGGCGGCACGCATGAAGGCCACGCCGTAACCATGGCGCGCAGCAAGAATCTCTTAGATGGACCCTGGGACCCCAGTCCGCTGAACCCCATACTGAGCGCCACAGGGACGGACGAGTACGTGCAGTGTACGGGCCACTGCGAGGCATTTGCCGCCAAAGACGGGGAGTGGTGGGGCGTCTGTCTCGGGATCCGGATGCGCGAGAAAGGGTTCTACGGGTTGAGCCGTGAGACGTTTCTCGTGCGGGGAGCGTGGAGTGCGGATGGATGGCTCAAGTTTGAGCGCGCGACAATGCAATTGAGAATTCCTGGTGTGAGTGTCGATGCGGAGAAGAAGCTAAGTGCAGTGCCTGGAGCGGATTGTGTGTATATTCATGATCCGGCGCTCCGGGATTACGACTTCGATCCCACAGGGAGACATGTGGTGCTGAGGGCTTCGCCGTATGATTTGACTGCGCCGAATGCTTCGCCTTCGTTTCTGGGTAAGCGGCAGCGCTGCATCGAGGGGAGAAGTAGAGCCACGCTTGTTGTGGGTTCTCCCCATGAAGATGCACGCGTTACTGCGGGCGTAGCGATGTACAAAGATGAACATCGTTTCTTTTCGGTTTCTTACAGCCCAGATCAATTACCGCCGGAAATTTCCCTCCGCGTCTTGAATACGGCCAAGAAGATAGATTGGAGACGCACTGTCGATTTGCCGATTCGGCCCGAGTCCTTGGAATTCATCGTTGAATACGGAGGTGCCTTTCAAAAGTTCTGTCTGACGCTAATTTCGGCGCTTCGGCGTAACTATTCTTGGCACAACTCCCACCTTTGAGCTAAGCTGTTGATCAGTCGTAGTCATCTATCTACTATGGCTCCTAATACTGATTCTTACACCCGTGCCTTAATTGTAACGTTAAAGTCACCTCCTATTAGTAAGTTAACGTTATAGATCTTAGAGCTAACTAGCGTCTATCCTCGTATAGTTAATTATATCTATAGTAGAGCTATCGCTGCTAGCTTTAAGCTAAACGTTCTCCCTCTTAAGATCCTCCTATACCACGTTTAGGATGCCCCTTGCTCTAGTAGACCTACTAAGTAGATAGAGGAGGTAAAGGAGTAGATATTTTAATAAGTACGACGCGATAGATATGGACGAGAGAAGACCTACGCTGATCTTACTAGTGCGCTTAGTCTCTAAGGAGTCGAAATCTCTACCTCTACCGTCTAGAGGGTATTAAGAGTAGCAGGATATAGAAAGACTAAGCTAATAAGGAAGCCTAGGTTGATATAGGAGATAAGGAGTGCTCGTCTTAAGTGGGTATTAGAGTATAAGGACTAGATGTTGGAGGACTAGAAGAATGTTATCTAGATAGATAAGACGTCTATGGTAATTAACTACCAACGTAGGGGCTATAGTGTTATGGGCGAAGAGGCCTTCGAACGAGTTTGCATTAGCCTATGGTACAGAAGAAGAAAGATAAGAAGAGTTAAGCTGTCGTACGACACTT